AGCTTGATCATCACTGCAGATAGGCGTTCTTCCCCACAGATAACTTGGCGAAGGGGCGTGAACCAAATTGAAATGTTTTCAACGTTATACAAGCTCTTCAAATCCAGTCTGATATTAACCATTTTGTGAATTCATTTTTGGTTCACACGCAAATAAAAAAAACAACAAAACAAAAACGGACAAAATGAACAGAAATACGAAAAATTTTAATACAATTTAATTTGCTACCATTTTTTACTGCCCCTCGCCGGTTGACATTCACATTTTCATTTCGCGTAATTACAGACCAACCAGAAGCCAAAGGGGTCTCCCGAATCGGGGTCACCTGGCCAGCTCCTGCTCACTGGGCATGCTCATCCAGTCGAGCTCCTTGGGTATAATTAGACCTGAAAGCATATTTGTCAAGTTTCGGTTTCAGTTCGCGGATCCGCGAATCGTCGTCCAGATCAACAGGATGCGATATGTTAATGACAAAAGCGTTGCCTGTAGGTTTTCAGCTTGGGGAGCGTAGTCGAATTGAGTAATTGGTAAATGGCGAAAAGAAGGGAGCTGAGTGAATTTAATTTTGGCCTCAAGATGGGGTGGTCAACAAAATTCAATTAACATTTTCTTTGACTTATGATAAAATTTAACTTTTAACAAGGACTACGTATACAAATTTTTTCGAAGCCTTATAAAAAATACAAGGTAAAGTTATTCATACTTCGATCACACATTTTTGGGGTATATAAAAAATGAACGATCGATGAAATCAGCAACGATTTAAATTGCAATATAAGTTCTAATTTTGCGTCGACTGAAACAAAAAAGAAGTACTAAAATCTTTAAGTTTCCCACATTAAGAAAATTCGAAATGCCAGATGTCCACAACAAGTTTTGCGAACTTAATTGACTTTTTGTTAGCAACTCTTCTAAAACAAGAAAGGAAGCTAGCTTCGGTAAGCCGAAGCTCGTATACCCTTGCGGTCATCACAAATTTCGAGCGAAATACATAATGGCTAAACAACATTGAAGTAATGTCGATTTTTAATTTTTTATTCCATATAATCATGTTTTTGGGGTCTCACACAAAATGTGCAGTTGCTCTTTCTCTTTCTCTTATTTGGAAAATCGTAAGTGAAGCCACTTACTATTGCATTCTGTTCGCCTGATACTTCAAATTGGGCTTTGGTTGAATATGTTGGGCTTGACCGAACGATTTCAACGAGAAATTTTGTGATTCTTAGATTTGAAATACCAGGTCAACAGAATTCATTAATAGTTTTATTAATTTTTTGGCCTTGCAAATTTTTCATAAACACGTGTGGCATACTTTTGTGAGTAAGAAATCTGAAAAGTAGCCACCAACTCTAAGATTCTGTTCGCCTGGATATATACTGCGTGCAATTACTATACAGCTTTTGGTAACGTTTCAGCAATATAGATTTAAAACGTACAGACGTAGTGATGCCGATCAAGAATATTTATACTTTACGGGGTCTGAAGTGTCACCTTCACTCCGTTTCAAGCTTCTGATTGAAATTATAATAGCCTCTGCAAGGGTATAAGAAAAGGCAATTAAATCCAAAACCAAAGCTTAAAAATGAAAAAAACGGTGCTGCATCGAATAGAAAAATACTCTGAATATGAAGACCTCTTCATTAGAAACATTTGAATATTAATACATTTTTTATTGTTTTTATTTTTTAACTAAACATTTAACTTGAACATCAACCTGACAATTTCTTAAGGTAAACTAAATAGAAAACAATGCAGGACATACTCCTGGCGAGGGTATATCGAAGCAAACCAACGCGAACCACAACTAATTCAATAATGAACACATATCAATAAACACACAGTGCAGCTGTGGACAAGTGACTTGGCCGGGCTTTCAAAAACACTAAACACGAGCTTCCAAGATGCCCCAAGCAGGCAACAATTTGTGAAAAAAATAAATGTAGAAAAACAAACAGAGCGCAGCATGTTGCCTGACAGGAGTTGCAGGAACAAAAAGCCACCAACAGCAGCAGCAGCAGCAACAATAATTAAAAGAAAAAAATTTAATTGATGCATTAAAGCTGGTAACGTGTTTTCCACTCGGTTCCCGGGCCAGTTTTTTCCGCAGTGACTTTCAGCCAGAGAGATGAGTGCTCCGTCTGCACTATTTTTAACCGACTAGGACCTCAACAGGTTGAAGAGCAGAGCTCATTATGTTGGTACTACAGTCGTGGCATGTTGTTTCAAATATTTACATTAAAATTGTTTGCATTGACTTGGCGGATATTCCCCCTGGGCGGCGGATATCTTAGGTCTTTTGCCAAACATTTTTGGAATTTTGATTTGCTGGCTTAAAGCTTCCAAAGAGCTGTAAAAACAAATGACTGAGACAACGAACCTCAAGTGGGAGAGCAGCTTATAGGTAATAATGCTTTCCCAACTTGAATACTTCGGGCATGTACTTTATTTTCATGCAGCCATTGACAACAGCCGCCTAAAAAACAATCAAAGGACATCTGCCCCGCCAACAAAGTTCGCTCTACGCACCGTCATTATCCATTATGCGGAGGTATAGAGAGAAAGACGTTGACTTTGTCTAAGATAAATTGAATTAGAGACGCCAAACGCGCACATTCATCATCCATCCGGCTTGGGGGATGGGGACATATGATAGATAGTCGCTGGAGGGATATTGTGTCGAGGCCTTAAAAAACCCGAGGACGTACCGAAACCGAGGACGTACCCTTGCAGACAAATAGTAGGAGTAGACATTTTAATTTCCCGAAAATAGACTGCCAGATGAATGGCATTCTGCAGACCTTTCGAGGGGATCGACCCATCTTTCTTCTGTTGTTCTTAAGTGGCAGGGAAACTAGAGCAGCCTGCGTATTCTTCGCTTTTTTTAAGGATGATCTGAAAGATGCCCGTGCATAGAACTCACGGACTAAGCCGCTTCGGTGCGTAGGCAGGGAATGAAAGGAGTGGAACTTGGATTTCCCCCTTTTGTGCCTCGCTTTTGAAGAACATTAAATCCTTTTGCTTATTTTTTCAAGGTGTGGCCATGCAATCTGCTCGCCCCTCCGCTTCGCTTCGTGTTTATTGTCCTGGCTTGTAGACCACGGAACATCTTGGCCGGTTAAGCCGGCAGGAAAAGGATTCAAGTCGACCGTCTTGCGGCTTATGTTGCTTAGTTGCGCTGGATTAAATCACAAGAAGGGATTGAGCTCGATTTTTGGGTTGTGCCTGATGCGTTTACGGAAGCAGCTGCCAGGATTAACTCCTACTTTTTATGGGACTTTAAAAATTTCATAGTAAAAGTGGTATAAACAAGAGATTGGGTCAGGCTCCAAGCTCTACTCAGCTTTTAAAATGACGCCATTGAGCCAAGTCAACCTGTTGCCGGCTTTTCAACAATTTTCTTTTCCTTCATCAACCATAACAACTGCAGAAGCAGTAACAAACGACAACGCTTGAAATGCTTTATCTGATTTTTAATTGAGAAAAAAAGGATAGCTTGCAAAATCGAAGTATTGATCACCCTTTCATTTTCGCTTTATGTTTTGCTTGAAATAACACTTTAAAAAAAAATCATTCATGTTTTATTATATGGAAATTATCTACGGTACAACATATTAAAATACTAGCGATGTATAGAATGCAATTCGAGTTCCTTTCTAACTTTTTATTACAAAATTATGTTCTTTGGTAGACATTTAGTAAACATTTCTTTAAGATAGTAAGTAGTAGAGTATCAGATTGTGAATTACTGAACCTTTTGCACTGTAGTTCGGATTCGGGTTCCCGATAGCTGCTAATTAATAAACGCAGTGCCTTAAGCATAGACTCTTACTATAAAGAGATGAATCAAGGGGCGGAGTGGGAGGAAACTCAGCGACTGGACTGACGGCCCGACGCCGCCTCAGATGCTACTTGGCATAAATGCACACTTTTAGCATTTCTCGGATTCTCCAACTGCAGCGACTACTGAAGAAACGTGCAGCTTATGACAGTTCGCCAATGTCGCCAACTGGCCGCCGGCGACTCTCAGAAGAGGAAAAAATAGCAACAGAAAGGAAAACAAGTTGCAGTTGGAATATTAAGAATTGTCATATTGAAAAGTCAGAGATGCCACGAGAGTCAATGCCAAGCTACTACTGCAACCACAGCGGAAAGAAAAAGCTAATGAAAAGAAATGATAGAAGACGATATACGCTTCAGTAATTTAAAATCGTGAAATAACTAAAAATATGGGTAATATGAAAGTGATATAATACATAGACATTAACAATTGGTTACTTTTAATCTAGAATGCTATATATATTTCTGTTTTTTTTTCTCGAGAAAAAATTAATAAACCCTATTTCTTGTAGAGTATTCCCTCAAATCCTGTCCAGCGAGTTAAGCCCGTTTGTATCTCTGTTGATTTTTGTAGGTTTGAGTTATTGTTTGGCACCAAAGCGTGTCCTGTTTATTTTATAAGATAGCTGCCTTAACATATTTCCGCCGTTATAAAATAATGTGCATAACTTTACTACAGAACATACTCGTAAACTAGTTGCTGTAGAAATCTTTTGTACCGGGAATCATGCTGCGTAACTAATTGCCGAAATGACAATGATTTCACCGACCTTATGAGCTTGCCTTTCTCACAGAGTTTCCCATTTTCCTTAATTTAATTACGAGTTTTATTTGGCTGCGTATGCTCGATGGTTGCGCTAATTTCGACGCGTCGGCGGTGTTGATTACAACTAAAATTTGTTTGGCTCAAAACTAATTTTTTTATTACACCTCTCATTTGATGGTTTTGTCTGCAATTATTTTGACGGCTGATGCGTGAATGCCTTCGTTCCAATGTCTTGGCCAACGAACCCGACGCAATCAAAACTCAGACTAATGCGACAAATGTCAACGGAAACGCTTTAACAGCTTTACAAGTCTATTAATTTACGATTGCACTGCTATAAAATGGAATGTTTTGTTTACTAATTAACAAAACGACGAAGTATAACATGGAGAAAACATTTTTTTGAGGTTAGAGTTTACTTGTATTTATTTTTATTCCTGTCCTTTATCCATATTTCGATCCACATGTAAGAAGCCACAAATTCTTATTAATGCAAGAGTAATATAAAAGCCAAGGAAATAACATTTTTGTAAGCTATTTGATATAGAAATAAAACCGTAAAGAAACAATTCACATATTTTTCAGGGCTCTGTAATAAATATATTTTCTTAAAAGCTATTTGAAAACTTTCCTGTCCCGGAATTTATAATTTTGTTTTTCATGAACCAGAATGTACACAGAAAAGTAATCTTTACGGTATTGATTGACCCAGACAAACAAAGATTGCTAACAAATTGGCTTGGTCTTTTGTCTTTAAAAATGAGTTATACACTACTCCACTCCTGCGGCAGCATGAGATCCTGTTGAAGGACTTGGCGCCCGACTTGTGGCTGGACTGCTGCTGGGGGGCGTTGCATCAGGACTGCGACCCAATGGAACCAACAGTGGTCCCATTGGACGACGGGCACGTGGAGCTCCTCGCTTTCCTCGACTGATCGGCGTAGCGGTCTTTGAACGGGGCCGTCCTGGCCCTCGCTTGCCGGAAATTCCAGGCGATTGTCCAGATGGAACAGGACTAGATCCGTAGTCTATTAAAAGAAAAATTCACATTATTTTAAAAATGAACGATAACATTTTTACAACATTTTTCTTTTGTGCTTTGTAATTTAAATCTTAAAGACAATATTAAAGTTAAAGTATATATGGGAATATATACCAAAAAAATCTAAGAATGTTTGAATAGCTTAAACTATAACGTTTATTAAAATTCCCAAAAAAGAAGAAACAAAGTAAGCCAAAAAATCAGTTTAAAAAATATAAAATCGACAAAGCAGGCGAAATAAGCATATTCGGATTCACTTCCAAAAAATATTTAGTTTGTGCAAGCTTATCGTTCAAGGAGGTTGTCTGCTCCTACATCTAATAAAAATGTTGTAAAACAAACATTAAGTTAAAAAAAGTGAGTTTTTGTTTCAACGTTTTCCAACAATTTTAACTACGTTTATTTAAAAAACATTACACCAGTCAAAAATAAGTTTAAAAAAAATTAAATAAACAAAGCAGGCGAAATAAGCATATTCGGATTCACTTCCAGAAAATATTTAGTTTGTGCAAGCTTATCGTTCAGGGAGGTTGTCTGCTCCTACATCTAATAAAAATGTTGTAAAACAAACATTAAGTACAAAAAGTGAGTTGTTTCAACGTTTTCCAATAATTTAAACTACGTTTATTTAAAAAATTAAATAATCAAAGCAGGCGAAAAAAGCTTATTGGAGTTCCCTTTAAAAAATGCGTAGTCTGTGCTAGCTCACCAAACAAAGCATATTCGGCTTTGCTTAAAAATATATTTAGTTCGTGCTAGCTTATCGTTCAAGGAGGTTGTCTATACCAATACAAAATTTTGTGAATCAAACATTTAGTAAAATATTTGGTACTGGCTTTAAAATATTTTTTACTATACTTAGGAAACCGTAGACTCTGGACCCCCGACTACAAAATTGCTTTCGAAAGCATAAGGTATTTCAGACTCGTGCTTTGTGTAGCATCATATTCCGATTGATCAAAAGTCTTTTGCACTGAAGCGGTAAGTAAAGAATTCTAAAGCCAATTTGTAACTGCTTTATGACTTCGGAGAATAACGCTTATCATCGTTTTGATAGTCTGCAAGTCCCCGAAGTCCCCAAAAAGAAACTGCCAAAGCAAGTCGGTTGTCTAACAGCTCGAGCATTACTACAATTTCGAATATTTTTTCGTTATTTTTCCTTTGCAAAAGTCGTTGGAGCCAGATAAAATACATTTATCAGAATGCATTTCTCGGGCTCCAAAGGCACAAATACGAAGCTGAAAAAATATTTAAAATTTAATTAATGCTCGTCCTGTTTGATAACCGAAATGCTTCGGCTGGAGAAGGTTGGGAACCACCAAATGACTGGAACACATCCCTTGGCCAACCTCGAAAACTTCTACATGATCCCAAAAAGTTGCAAGAACCAGCAACACAGGATGTTCCTTTGTAACCAAGGGAGGAGAGCCCAGACGATTTTCGGATTCAGTTCTTCCAGGCGTTGGAACGGATAATTTTTCGGGTTAATAATATGAAGAAAACTATTTTCGGAATCCAAATTAAAAATTGTGATTTTAATCTAATTATTAAATGAGTTTAAATATTAATAGAACTACAAAAAAATTTTTTAATTGCATCTGGCATCAGATTCGAGGAAATCAAGCTGAACAAAGGATAAAAACTTTCTTGCTAATCCCAATAGCATTTGCCACTGCACGTTCCATCGTATCCTTACATTTACTCGTTTGTCCCTGCAATGCATGCAATTGTGGTTTTTTTAATTGCCAAAAGTCCCCCGAAACATTCTGGCCCTCTTCCTGGCCAAGTGTAATTTATGCAACGTTGCGTATTTGCCGTTGCGATTATGTCTCCATTTTCAGCCAACAACCAGGGGAACGTGTTCCTGTCACGTGTGCCCCGCTCCTCTTGTCCGGCGTCTGGGATTTTAAGCGGATTTATTCAATTATCATTTGTCGTGCGCTTGAAAATCCGACTGAAAATTGCCACATTGTTGCATTGAATTTTTCTCCCTTTAAATCAAATTTGTCTGACTTTAAATTTGGGAAATTTACCATGTCGCATATGCGAATTACTTTGGGGAATTATTGATCAAATTGGCAAAAATCTGGTCATCATTACGTGTTCTTAGAATTGAGCAAGGCATTAAATGCCTAAATTAGGTCTCTTTTTTTCATTTCCACAAGTTAAGGAAGTGACAAGGGGAAATGATAATGCAGCCAGATGCAAATCTTTAAACAAATATTTGAGTTGACTTGAAGGCAACTGAAATGGGGAGCACTCTAAAAGGAAGTTTTATCTGGATGTATTTATTTAAAGGGGGACATATTGAAAATGTTTATGTATTGTTAAAACGCCTGGTACTGCGTTAAAATTGTCACGTACCACAAAGTGGAAGCATTATTCCTGCGGGCTGTAATCGAGACATATCCCAAAAAGAAAACCATGAGTGAATAAAACGAAAGGGAGACCGGTAGATCGACCACAAAGCAATATAAAGATAATACCACCACTGGGGGAGGGGCTGAGTACCCGAAAATACTTGTTCCGGAAAAGGCAGCGATAAACGTGATTATGACAAGCGATTAGCGACAAGTGACACTCGATTCAACAGAGGGGAAAGTCCTCGCGGAGAGGTTACTCATAAAGGAGTGTGAGTTGCGTGTCGAAAAGGAAGGAACTTGCACTGGAAAAGCGACTATGGAACTAGCTGATTTTGTATATTGTTTACAAATTCTTTGGCAAAATAATTGAAATGATTATTTTACCTAATTAAAATATAAGAGCGTTTCATTGACTTATATCAACGTGTCCTCTTTGTACATTTTTCAAAAATCTTTATAAACTGTATTTACATTTATTTATTTATTGCATTTTCTTGAAGGTAAGTTGCTGTTTTAATTTAATAAAAAATTTCAGTGAGTGTTCTTACCATCTTCGTTGAGCGCCAGGCCGGCGTTCTCGCCACCGCCGCTTACTTCCTGCTGCGGCAGGGGTGACGACGCTCCCGCTCCTGTTCCCGCCGCTGCCGCCGTCGACGTTGCCGGTACCGCTGGCGTCGGCGTCAGCACGCGCTGGATCGAGCCGTGTCCGCCGCCGCGTCGTGTGCTGCCCCTTGGACGTCCCCGCTTTGTGCCGCGCGGGTGGTGACGTCGCCGCATCGGCGAAATGCCGCTCAGGTCGCCGAGGAAGTCTGCAAGAAGAACGGAAATTTATAGGTGACTCGGTATTGATTAATTGCGGTTCCCCCGAAATTCACAAACATCTGGCCCAATATATTACAAAAAACAAACATAACAAGAAAGGAAGCTAGCTTCGGCAGGCCGAAGCTTATATACCCTTGCAGTCATTAAATATGTCTAACAAAATACAAAAAGGCTAAACAGCATCTAATCTATGACGATTTTTCTATTAATTTTCCATATTGTTCATATGGCAGCTATATGATATAGTCGTCCGATTTTGATAAAATTTAATTTGTAACTCAAGACTCATAAGAAAACTCTATATTCCAAAAATCATGATTGTCTGATGAAAAACATCGAGGTAATAATTTTATTTCCGTTATTTCTATATAGATTTTTTGATCTTTCCTATGGCAGCTATATGATATATTACTCCGATTTTTATGAAATTTTTTCCCGATTTAAGAGTATTAGAAAAGCCTGATGTTCCAAAAATCATGCTCGCGGGATTAAAAACAACGACGGTTTAATTTTTTTTCCATTATTTATATATATATTTTCTGATCTCTCCTATGGCAGCTATATGATAGAGTTATCCGATTTTGATAAAATTTAATCCGAAATTCAATAGTGGTTAGAAAACGCCATCTGGAAGGAATCAAGTCGATCTGATCAAAAACAACGGAGTAAGAATTTTTAATTTAATTCTCTCGTATGGGAGCTATCCGATATAGTCGGCCGATCCGGCTCGTTCCGACCTATATACTGCGTGCAACAACTAGACAACTTTTGGGAAAGTTTCAGCCAGATAGCTTTAAAACTGAGAGACTAGTTTACATAGAAACCGACAGGAGGACAGACGGACAGACAGACGGACAGACAGACAGACGGACAGACGGACAGACGTACAGACGGATTTGGTTTCAGATGGTGATGCTGATCAAGAATATATATACTTTATGGGGTCTGAGGTGTCTCCTTCACTGCGTTGCAAACTTCTGACTGAAATTATAATACCCTTTTGCTCTGCAAGGGTATAAAAATTGGAGTTTCGTTACATTTACCACAATTTTATGGCCTGCAACCCAAAATGGCTAATTAATTGAGGTGGCCTGGGTTTTTACCGGCTGCTAGATGTGGAACTCTTCTTGGGTCTCCTGGCTGAGATCTTCCCAACTGCCAGCACCCACAATCCGCACCATCGTTATTTGTGCCATGACCATATTCGCGCTTTTAACGTGTTACTTTTTATGCCCCAGAGACAATGGAAGAATGGCAGCAACAAACAAGTTCAACTTTTATCGTGGCCCAGACTCTACAGAAATGTCAAAGCAACAATAAGCGGATGCTCATATTTCCATATTGTAATTCTTAACCCAGGTTGTCAGCAAAGCATTTGGATTAGTTTTCATATTAAAAAAAATATAAAATACAAATATAAATATAAAATCAACTAATATTCAATTAATCACTTTGTAAAATGTAAGTCAATTAAATAAACACCGGAAATTAATATATTCTATCTACATATTGCAGAAAAGTAAAATGTATTTTATTTTATTGAAGAATATTTTACATTTTTATGGAAGAATGTTGGATGGAAAAACCTTTTCAAAATTTAAGTATATAATATGTAGTATTTCATTAAATTTTAAAGTTATTCTAAACAATTTAAAAATTTCTTACTTTTGGGTTAAGCATTTCTGTTTCAGTAGTTATATGTCACCGACTTTAGACGGCTTAACTGTAAATTGTATAAATAAAACAGAGACAGCCAACAAATAAACAACGACAGGCTCAAAAAAGTTGCAATCAGCGGGCAGACGAACATTGTCAGACAGCAATGTTGTTGTTCTACTGGTTCTATTTCCACAGTTGCTGTTGTTGGTTGCGAGTATCTTGTCTTGTCTGGTGTTTGGCGACAATACCTGGCGCTCTGCGATTTCGGTATGCAATGCACACAAGTGCCAAACAGCATCATCATAGGAGATCCGATGATCATCACTTCATGATCGACATTGTCTAGTCGGTGCAGTGATCATCGCCATCGACAGTCGCCAGAGGAATTGTCTACAAGATGGCCATGTCCCCACTCTATAAGCCAAAAGAGAGGGGCCGGCCAACAGCAGTCTGTCTCCTTTTATCGGTAGGGTTTACTTTTACTGTTACAACGAGAACGAGAACAAGAACAGCCCCAGCGGCAATGCAATACTATTGAACTGAACTTTGGATTTCAGCCATAAGTTTTATCAATAATATTCAATCCAAGGCAATTCACACAGCCCAGAAGAGGTTTTCTCGCTTTTTTTGGCAATTCGTTCTTGGATTGTTGCCGCTTTTGGCATGTATTTCGGTCAAACGTCGCGGCATTGCAGCAAAACATCAAAAACACCAGCAACAACCAAAGTTTCGCTTTTTAGCATAATTCAGCTGTCAACCAGGGGAAAGGGCAATGGCTGAAAGCTACCAGGCAGAATGGAAATGTTGAGCTTGATGAATAGAGTCAAGAAAGGGTTAAGCACGATGATTAGGGAATGACAGTTGAATAGAAAGTTTAAAATTTCCTGTTATGAATAACTCAATAAGAATAAATTACTGCCACAGTTTTGCTGAGTTAAAATTTGTTAAGACATTTAAAGTAGAAACATTAAAAGAGTAATACAAAATTAAATGATCTTTAACAATCTATGTGTTAACAATACATATTACAACAATTTTTGGTAATGTTGTAATATGTTTTGGATAATTAAAATAATATAGACTACAACAAGTAGTCATTTTTGACAATTTTGAGGCGGAATTAAAAGTAAGAATTTGTAAACCCGTGATTTTTACTTGCCAGTTTAATAGCAAGCCGAAAGGACTCATTCTACCCCTTTGAGAATTCCCCGAAAAATCATTTCACACTACGCCCCTCGTCCACCCACCGAACTTCAGCCCATACTATCAATAGTAAGTATTCCCTTTGCTCTAGTTGTATTTATGATTGCAATAAATATTTTCGCTTTTGTTTGATTTGCTGTTGTTTGTTGCTTACATTTACTCCGTCTGGGCCCTCTCCATATTGCCAATTGACACGAAAGGCCAGGGAACAAAATAACAACAACGAAATTGCAGCAAGCAAAGTATGACAAAAAAAAAGATGGAAAAAAAGCGGGAAGTAAAAAATAAGCGGCAGAGAAAGATAATGAAGCTCAGCGAACGAGGACCAAGAATCCGGCGAGCATAATCGGATTTCACAAATCATTCATTCAATTATCTAATTGATTTGACTGATGATCATTTGTGAACCTTGATCCTAGCTCCCTGGGCCCGGTGCCAAAGTCAATGTGACGCATGTTTGTTACGCCTGATAAACGAAGTGAAAGAAGGGAATCTCGGCTCGAAAGGCCTCACCTTTGACTGTAATGCGCCGGCCATGACTAAGTGGCTCTTTGGATCTTTGGCTCCTTGGCACTTTTTACCCGGCCACCGGGTTCCCCTCTTCCTGCTCAGATTTGCAGGCTTAGATTACATTTCGCTGTTGTTGTTGCTGCCGGCTACCGTAAGCCATAAAAAGTCGAATAAATTGCGATTCTTATCTGTGTGAAATTGTTAATTTTTTAACGGATTTGCCGAAGTCTGCTAAAATCCGGAAATAATGGTATTCGTAAACGAATGTCTTTACTCCAGGTGTAGAAATAAATTTTGTTTGAAATGGTTTTAAATAACTAAGTTACTGTAAAGAGGAAACATTCATCATAAAGTTATAAATCTACTTTTTCAAATAAAAAGAATATGCTCAATCTATCTGATATTCACTACATATATTTGAAACCATAAACCACATATACAATTATCTTGGATTGAAAACAACCACTTTGGACGTCATATAACACTCAATTTCACATATAAAAGTATTCGTATTCTGGACGAGACACTGGTTTCGAGAGATATAGCAATCGGATCTGGTGGAGCCGCCATCCTTGGGGTGTAAACTTCTTCCTCTTCGGCGGCTCATCATTCATGGGATCGTAGTTGTGTTCGGGATGGAAGCAATGCGGTGGGAACTGAGGTGTAATCTTCGGCTTTGAGAGGCTGAGGATCCGCGCCGAGATCCTGGCCTTGAGCGCAGCCTTGCGAATGGGGAACCGGAGTTCGGCCCACCACTTGTCCTCGAGCTCGGCGTTCAAGAAACACCAAGGTTTGGTGGGGGGCTGGAAGGGTCGTCCCTTGTCGTGAAGTGGCGGCTGACCCCAGACAATAATCGGGGAGTACGGATGATCTGGATAGATGTACTGATGCTTCGGCGTCTTCTTGCGTTCCAGTGGAGTGGCCAGCTTGGCAACCTTCTCCTGAAACTCGTCGGGATCGATCTGGCGTGGCTTTCTGCCGCACGGCAAGTATTTGGGGTAACAGGGTATTGGCTGCCTAACTGGCTCGGGAAGCTCTTTTGGCATAGATCGGGTGGCCGCCCACTCGTAAAACTCCTTCCAGTGGGCCTTCTTCATCGGTCCCGGCTTCTGCCATCGTGTCAGACGGCGCGGCTCTTTGTACAAACGACGTACGATCGGCTTGGCATTCCGCTCAGACCACTCCACCCAACTCGGCGGTGGCTTCACCAAGCTGATGACACTCGCCTTGGTCTCCTCCGGAGCGATGCTCATGGCGGCCCGGTTGACTTTTAAAAATCACTTAAAATTTGGCACAAACGGAAACTTAATCTAGCAGAGCAGATCAAATTTTTACGTTTCTATGGCAGTGGTTGAGGTTTATAAAACTGTTACATTCTCGACTGGTTGGGATAAAAAATTGTACTGACATTTGCATGGGCGCCTACTAGTAGGTGCGTGTTTTTCAATTCCATTCAAAATATTATTTTAAAAGAAAAAAAAACTTTTAAAGTTCAAGTCCACTGCGTCTTCAACCGAAGGTTTATTGATATTATTATAAATAAAAGAGGTCTTACTCAATCATCACTGAATTGAATAACCCATTTTGTTTTTAAAGCTCTTTAGTTCCAAGGCACATACTATGTCGTTGATAGAGATTCCAGATATAGACAAAGGAAATTCGTAATTTTTTTAAAATCAAGTTATTGTTGCATCGTTGTTGATCAAATTATTTTCTGAGTCTGCATTTATCTTAATGTCTTAGAAAATATTATACTATATTAATTTCAAAGTGTACAAAAAAAGGAGCAACTAGCCATCATGTTTTATTTTAATGTATGCATATATTACATATAAAAGAATGACTCCAGATTATTTCTGAAAACCGGCTTGGAGAGATACATTAGTCGTATTTGGTGCGAACGCCACGCTTTTGGGGTGAACTTCTTGCGCGGTGGAGGACGCACATCCAGGGGATCCAAAACTTTTTCGGGAATGGGACAATGCGGAATTGGTGGGTATGTCCTGGGTTTCGATAGATTTCGGATGCGGGGCGATATGTGGGCCTTTAGGGCAGCCTGACGGACGGGAAATCTTAGCTGGGCCCAGAAATCTGCCTCCAGTTCGTTGTGGACAAAGCAGCCGGGAACGTAGGGGGGTTTGAAGGGTCTGCCGGGATCGTGATGAGGTGGCTTGCCCCAGAAGATCACCGGGGAGTAGGCCGGCGGCATGTTACGTACATCATACTTCTGGGTGATCTTTCGGGGCTTAGCCAACAGTTGCATCTTCTCTAGTAGTTCATCCTCGTCCAACTTGCGTTTTCTCAAATTGCAGGGCATGTGGCTTTCCAAACAGGGCAGTCTTTCGGGCTTCAGCTCGAGTTCCCTCGGCATTGCCCGATTGGAAGCCCAGGCGAAAAAGTGTTTCCAGTCCTTCTTGGTCATCGGTCCACTCTTCTGCCATCGGGTCTGTTTTTTCTTCATCCGAAATCTTCGACGCTTCACCGGCTTCGAGTTCCGTTCGCACCAGGCCACCCAAGATGGCGTTTTGGGTTTATCGTTTTCCTGATCAAGCAGATCATTGTAGGAGTCTATTGGGGCAATCGAAGGTTCTGTGCTTTTCACTTTGCCAGAGGGTTGACCAAACATATCACTAGTTCTTCCAATCATCATTAATGTTTTTGAAGATTTTTGGATTTACACCTATCAATTTTGTATCTGTTGCCCTATGACTAACTCAGATGAACACTCAAGATACTGGGAGAATTTCCCTGGAATGAGTTTTGAGAGCCTACTTTCTTTTGAAACCTATCATTGCGGATACTAAGATGCTCACAAAAAATATAGGATTACTATCTTAAGAGTTATATTCATGCTAGTTTTATTTTTCATAGTTTAAATTTGAGTTGTAGCCAAAGGGCTCAACTCTAAACTACAGTTAATTTTACTAAATGGAGAACTTGGTTTCCATTAGTTAAAGAATCTGTAGTTTAGGGCTGAGCTTTTCGGTTAATTTAGGTACAGCAGCACAATAGCTCGGCCAAAACACGTTGATTTGGCCTGGACAGAAATTCGAGGCGCTGCAGATGAAGTCGCCACTGTCGCGGTGACATTTTCCGGCGTCTTGGCATTTGATCCTCGGAATTGTTGGGCCCCGGGCAATGGGGTTTCGGTGGACATTTCCGCGGCCGAGACAGTTCAAGGATCTTTTTTTTGGGAGAGGCTCTGAGTGCGTTCTGCGAGACAGGGAACCGCAGATTGGCCCAAAACTCAATCTCAAGCTCTATATGCTGGAAGCAGTGAGGAACCGCAGTCCTTTTCACGGGTCTTCCACGTTCCGGACACTGGACGGGTTTGCCAGTTATTCGAGGTCGATAGGGATATTCCTCCGGTGGCGGAGGGATATACTTCTTACGCTGCCAACGCGGCATGCTCAGTCGCTGCTCGTTTTCCTTCAAAGATTCAATATCCTCTGAAGTCTTTTTCTCTTTGCATACTTTTCTACAAAAGGAATTTTTTTTAGTTAAGGGGTTCACTATATTTTAAATTAGGGATTACTTGCAATCAACAAGCAATCTAATATAGACTATTTTACATTTGTTAGCTATCGCATGGACCTCTAAAGTGGATATTTACCCGCATTTTTTCTGTATGCCACCTTCCATTCTTAAAACATTCTCCACCGCAGCCGCAGCTTCTATTTGGTAACGACTATGAAAGTTGGCCCAATCGTTTCGGTCCATGGGACCCGGTTTTTGCCATCGAGTTGGTTCCGGACGGACACGGGGAGTGAGTCTCGGAGACTTTGGTTTCGAGTTCCGATCGCACCACTCCTGCGTAGAAGCCCTAAGTCTTTTTCTGGCCGACATCCTCCCACCTTTATATAATAAATTTAGCTACAATTCTTTGTAGTGCGCTCATCAAAGAAATGCCAAATTGGTTTACGCTTGAATTTGTTTTTTTTTTTTTTTTTTTTTTTTATGGAGCGCTTTTTGTTACTATCTTGGACTTCTAGTGTCATCTTGACGTCGTATGTCTTATTTTAAGCAAGATTTCAATTAATTTTTAGGTTTTTTTTAAGTTATATTTTCTTGAAATTTAAGTCTAGGACTGCTTTAATTATCTACAATTTTTTTTAAATTTTCTCTCTAAGAAAGCTTGTAGATTTTTCAGTTTTGGTTAAGCAGTTTTTTCAAGCTATTTAGGAACGAGAATTTAATCCGCTTCAAAGAAGAGAGATCGTAAACAATAGAATTGTCGATCCTAAAAACGACACCCCTCTGTATACATTTTTTCAAGCATTTCTCTAGATCCCGGGACTCAGAACAATGCTTAAAAAATGTAGAGGATACTTGCAGGTTTTTCTTTAATGCCTCTCTTAACCCAAACGGCTCAATCACGAGCCCATGGTTCGTTCGATGAAAGCCAGAGTCTCCAAGCAGATGCATTGCGGCATTGCCCGTGGCGACACGCATTCGAGGTCATAACCCAATTCCTTTCGTGGCCAGTTGGCGATGGCCAACTGCGAGCTGCAACTGCGGCAACTGTGTTCCCCGCTTGAGTTCCACGATCGATGGGGTCCGTTCCTGGAGGCAATTGAAATTCGGTGCGCATTGCAATCGATCGCACTTTTTGCCCGACGATTGTCGTATGCCTGCGATACTCGTTCTGGCCTTTCTAACGCTGTCTCCGCCTTCTGGCCGGGCTTCAACCGGTGGTCGTCTCTGTTGGCCGTGTCGCCCATCTTCATCATCGTCTTCGGCAGCGTGTTGCATTTGATGAGCTCCAGTGGTCGGTCATCATTGTGTTCGCTGCCATTGTCATGATTTGTTGCCGCCACACAGAGATTTTTGTCTGGCTTTGCCACTTGAATTTTAAATTGAAGCCCCATCCAAGCATTTCTCTGGACACTTCCGGGCCGGAACTTTGGTGGGGATTAGCTATCACAAGGACAAGGACCTTGGCGTTCCGTTCCGAAAGAGTCATCAATCTGGCGACCGCAAAGTGCTCATAACATGTGTGAAATTGACACCACAGATGCGACTCGACGACTCAAACTAACGGAAACGCCGGCAATTTTACGCTACATTTAGCTAATGACCAAAAACCGAGTGGCAGATGGTCCTGCCTTCCCTTGTTCCTGGTGGTGCCGTCTTCTAAAAAAATAAACACAGCGACTGGGCAACACCCCAAAAGGAATGACTAAAAAAAGGCAGACACCAAAGTGGCGTGAAGTATGTTCTTTTTTTTGGAACATTAGGGGTGCGTAATGGAAACAAGCAGTAATTGAAGGGCACTTCTTTTATTTTTGGTTAAGGTGGTTTCTATCATTAAATTGGACCGTCATCGAATCGTTAAAAATGGTGGGGTAATTTCACTTTTTATGGCAAGTTTTCAGCTAATTTAGTTGGTTAGTATTAAGGTTTTATGATTTCCAAATTTACTATAAAGATAAACAAGAAAGAGACTCTTGTTGTCAAACAAAGTTAACTTCAATTGCAATCAATCAATCAACGCTAAAATATTTTTACTCGATAGCCAATTAAAAATTCACGCATTTAAATCCAAATAATGCAAAGCCAAAGCAATCTGTTTTAAGCGGAATTCTTAAGCGGATTCGTTTCATTTTCACATTGCAAATATGATTAACCAATTTGAGTCAAAACCACTTTAATTGTAGAGCTTCGAGCCGGCCGGCTGACAAGTGGCCAACTGCAATTGGCCAAATCGAACGTTGAGCCGGGTAGCCAAGATCCGCGGCACGTACTCGCTATGGGCGCTATGGGGGCCAATAAGGTGTAAATTTATGCGCCAAAGTCCGGGCCAGAAGCAGAAGTTGGGCCGAAATCGAACCATTAGCAAACCGAGCCTATGCATTTGATGGTCGATCACTTCAGAATGCTTAGCGAAACGCACATTTTTCGTATGCCTTCGGATGATTGGCATTCGAGAATGTTTGTTGTTTTTTCCTTTTGGTTTTGTAATTATCTTCGTCTGTGTGAATTTTTGTGGCCAATCAAAGTTTTTGTTCGCAGTTTTGATTTGCTGCTAAGATTCGCAGCGTAATTGTATCTCATGGCTAACGTGTATTCTATGAGATACTTTTTTGCCGCTGTTCCCTGGGAGCTCCGCTTTATATACGGCTATGTATATGTTCAACAAGTGTTTTCGTTTAATTATTTTCATGTCTCACAAGCTCAACTGACAAAGTGGACAAGGATCGTATGATCTACGAGGGGTTGGGCTAATGAATATTTGATCAGGGTGGAGTAATGGCATCATTTAACGTTTCGCCTTAGTTATGTTGCATTATGTTTCGCTTATGTGAAAGTTGCACATTTGGCACGTGTCCCAATTGAATGGCTCCAATTAAGAAATTGTTTCACTCTGTGTTACACAAGACAATTAAACGGAATGGGAAAAAGTGGTGCACGCACTAGGAAATTTGAATGATGGATAGAGAAAAATGTGGTCAATTGCGGCACTGAAAAAACAGTCCTGTTGTATAAAATTAAGCTATCCTCTGGTTTACTTGTAACTTACACTTGAAGAAAGTATTAATTTGAACTGAATATTTAATTAAAAATATTTAATTAATAGCATCTAGTAGTTCAAGGAAACTAAACCTAAATAAAAAGTTGCAAAATAAATATTTATTTCTGTGCTTTTCTCTTCTGGTTGAAGAATGCAGCTGAGTGAAACCTCGCAAAATAAATTAGATACGCTTGGATCACAAGAAGTATTTGATTTGAAAGAATTACAAGAGCAGAATGTCTAACTCAGGTATCATGACAATTTCTCATTTTGCCCGGCATAGTAATAAACAGCAAATAAATGTCGGTTAACATTACGAAATCAAAACAACAAGAGCAACCTGCTCGGATTGGCAATTTATGTAGCCACAACACGTGAGCTCATTGATTAAATTAGCTGCGTCTTTTGGCCAAGCCCTGTGCACATAAAAAATTATTTATGAGCCGCAATTCGGTCTGTTTTTTTTCTTTCCGTCTTTCTTCGGCTTTCCTTGCTTTTTTGTGGCATTTTAATGCTAAGCAAAAACCGAAGACAACACAAAAACCAAACTCCAAGTGACAAGCAAACCAAACATAATCAACTTTAGTCAACGGCAAATTGGGTTGCGTATGTCTGGGAAACCTCACAGAAATAATGCCAAATTGTACTTTTTTTCGAAGTATTGGGAATGACAATTTTAAAAATAACTAATACAATTCATCTATAAATGAAATTATTTACTTGTTTTTTGTTCTCTCGATTATCTGTTTTGCACTCTGTCGAACTGTTTTAGAATATTCTTTTTAAATTAAAGTAAATATAAAAAAAATATTTTAAATATGTATATATTTATACATCTTTCTTAAACTTTATTTAATTATTTTATAAGAGTTTTCAAAGTGATAAAAAATTGTAAAAATTTTATGTCATGCTAAAATACCTATCCTAATAAAATATTTGTTTTTTTTATTCCCACATTCCTTTGTTAAATTTCCCCTAGACGCAAAGCTGGCATCACTGTCTCCCAAGAAGGGGAACAAGACAGGAGTTAAACTGGTAGTACGCGAAACAACCACATCAGGTCGAAATGAAAACGTTATCAAGCGACAGACGCGCGTTTGCGGTAACAAGATGAAACGGGGACATAGGCAAAATTAGCTGCGTTCGCCGGCGAATTTGCAGGCCAATCAGTGAGTGTGCCACAATTTGGCCAACCAAACGGGCAACAAACTGGTCAAGTCGCAGATGCCATCGAAGCTGTAGCTGCTGGTCTCCTCCTCCTACTTCGGCAAATGTTGTGGCAACTTGCAACAACGATCTGCTGACGCTGCTGCACTTGTCGCGATTTCACATCAGTTTTTTGCTGTTACGGGTGCTTTTTGCCTATTGCCTACTTTTCAACGTCTTGTACTTTCGATTGGTTAATTGTTAAACAAATTTGAAATGTTTGTGCACCGCAGTCAGCTGGCCTCACCCCCTCCTTGGCCGCCTCCTCTTATCGTTTTCGAATGCAAATCGCATGAGCTAACAAGCTGCAATCGTTGCACATCCCACATGCAATTGGCAACTCATAACAGACAACATGCTCTCAGTTTGTGGCAATTTAAGTTGGTAGACCGCATTTTTGACTGCCTTCATATTGCAGGTGATTACCAAATAATTTTAGTTATTAATCATTAAAAAAGTGATCGTTCCGGGGGGAAATACGACCGCAAGTCGCAAAACATTTGAATCGAGCTTAAGTTATGTGAGCTGTCTTAGGATTATTGGTTGCCCACATATTTAAAGAGTTAGCCAGTCATATGGGTAAGTCGGAGTTGTAAATTTGCCAAAAGTTATTATTAAGATCTAACGAAAAGGTTGACTGATGTTGTAGCATACAACATATAATACAGTCATTAAATCCGAAGAACATTGATAGTACCCGTAAATCATATTTTGACCAGAACACAGAGTACATTGTACTTTTGAAACTTGAGAGTAACTATGTATTTTTAAATGGATTATCTTACTATATGGATTGTAATAAATGTTCACATTCTTCATATGAATATTTAACCCGCAGAAATAAGAAAATCGGTACTTACTCATCGATTCGTTTTGGCCCATCAGCGTGGGACTATCTCCATCCACCACCAGAGCCTCATTATCGGAATCGTTGTCCATCTGCTGGACACAGGTGGCTCCTGGTACGTAGGTCTCCTGGCTGAGGGTCGGATGATTGCTGTCCGTGCCAACACTCGAAGCCGATGATGTAACGCCCACGTCGATGAAGTCCTCCTCCTGCTCAAGTTTTAGTCGCTTCGCCGAGGAACTGCAACTGGGAACATCGTCGTCGGGGTTTTGGGAAGTCGAGGTGGCCGCGATGGTGGTGCCACCCATATTTACATCCTAAGACAATAAAAATAATATCATAAAAAAGTTATACCTTAATTCTCGAATGTAACAATCAAATCAATTAGCATTTTAATGGCCAACGGAAATGAGATATATCTGCTGGTGTTCTTCTACAACGGTCGCTTATCGTTCGTATCTTCTAACTGGCCCAAGAATACTCCCCTTTAAGCCATTTATAATTTATGCCAAGTTATCTCTGCTCCCTTTCCCTCCGGTGTGTGGCATAAAAATCATTCATGCCAAACCTGAACAAAACTAAGACTTGAGTTATGGGCTGGTCAACCGGAGGGATAGTGTTAAAAATGGGACGCTTTCGGGGGTTGGAGGCGGACCTCTGGTAATTGCTATGCTTGAGGAAATTGTTCGGAAGTAGGGTAAAGAGTTTTGCATACATTTTGCCCAGATTTGGTTAGTCAATTGCTGGGAAAACAGTAGCAATTTTCGTGCATGCACTCAGCTGCTTGTTAAGTCGCTCAAAAATTAATGATATTCATTGTTAAAGTTTAAGTTGAAATGGGGCAAAATTGTGGTAGTTTAAAATCATATTAAGTGAAAAATTCTTAACAAAGTAGTTAAAGATCATATTAAAACTAAGAACCAGGAAATTGATCATACTAAGAACAAAATATAAAAATATATCGCTTATATGGGGTTAAAGGTTACAAACTAACCTTATGTTGATTTGTTAAAATAAATTTTGTACTATTTTCTCATAAACTTACACCACATACATATTTATCAAAACTGAATTAAAAAGTTCTCAATTTAAGTAGTAGCCATTTCTCCACAAATAAAAATCAACTGGGCGGAAAGCACTCACTTAAATTATATATCATTATATCAGTAAAGAAAATAAACCGTTCTATAATAAACAACTGCGACACAAATCTAGCGGAGCTAAAGCTGTTCCAAATGATTGCCTCTCTCCAATCGAAAGGAAGAAGAACTCTTGCTGTACGTAACCTGGAAACATGAAAAGTAGTCTTCGCGCAATGGAAACTTGAACTTCCGACCGAAAATGAATTGACAACTCAGGGACAAGGGGTCGGGATACGACTGCGTGCCATTATAGCATTGTGTCGGCTGGTGGCATATGAACTTGAGTGGAGTGCGAGTACGGGTATCCGACTATCCAACTGACTAAAAGGAGGCGCAACACCAGTGGTCGTAGAACCAAAAACGGAGAGAAGCCACCAAGACGATGAGCCAGAAGAAGCAGCAGCACCACCAGACCATAATCAGTGTTCCATTGAACGCACAAAATCATTTAGCGAAACCAACAATAACAAAAACAAAAACAAAACACAAAGAAGACTCAGGGCCCGAGTTTGGAGGTGGTTGGTAGTAGTAGAGCCTGCACCCCAAACCGAACCAATCCGATCCGAACCAAGGCGAACCAAAAAGCACTTGAAACTGTTTTTTAAAAGAGTCTCCGAGAGACAGCGACTGCGAGTCCAAGTAGGGTAAAAGCAAAGTGTTTGCTTTGGAGAGTAAGTATGAAGTATCTGGCAGGGAGTACGACTACACTGGGGAACAAAGATTGAATCAGTTGAAAATATGGTTCACAAATTTAAAAAATAAATATAGTTGATCAGATAGATCAATAATTTAAAGTGAGTTTCATGAAAAGTGTAAGCTTTGAGCAACCCTAATATTGATTGTAAATGTATTCATTAATTTTTAATTATGACTTTCTGAAGCCGTAAAAAATAATTGAATTCGACATGCAACACAGTATAATACCCAAAATTTGGTTTAAATTTATTACAACTTGACTCAAAATGGCATTTGGAAAAAAGTTTGGAAATGTTATCCGAATTTTATCTTTTACGATTGACGAAAATAAGGAAATATTTAAATTTAAAAGTTTGCCCAGATAATAATGGATTAAAGACCAATTTGGTTAGCATTTTCTCCATGTGTACGACACTTGGATGAATGAATATAGTCGGCTGGAAGTGCTAGTGGCTCATGGCTCATGAAGTAGGTTCAAAGCACGCTATGTAGCAGACCAAGACCAGCCAAGACGATGAGTTGAGTTTTGTAGCAAATTGAATTGTCTTTGTTGCCGTTTCTGCTGTGTGTGTGTGCGCGCTCTATGATGTTGCATGAATCACGTGACCATGACCACCAATGCAGTGCCATAGGCCAAGAACAACCGAGCCGGGCTTCGCCTCGCTTTTGCTCTCTGTATATGGACGCACTCGCAATTCGAGCCTCACTCAAAAGATCATTTACTTTCATTAGGAAGCACCGACGAATCTTGTCGTGTAGCAAGTGCAAACTTGGTCTAATAAACAGCCATTAGGCAGTCGGCCTGAATCATGCATGAAATGGCCCACAGATCGCCCGGTCCTAACAAGATTTTCTTTGGGGTAAATCGTTCTCACCTTATTGGGATGTCGTCTTTTGCGTTCGCCTTGAGTGGCTGTTGGAATCGGTGAAGAGGACTGCAGGTTGGCCTCTTGGCGATCTGCAGAATAAATACAAATAAAATAAATTAATCTGAAATAATTCGAATCCATATAGATCTTTAATCTACTCACATTTCATCTCAATTTCCTCGTCATCCAATAGCAACGAAACCACTTCCTTGGGCTTGAGTGTGTCGGGTTTGAAATTGCCGCCACTTATGACCATGCGTTGTATCTGAAATCGGGGGAGAAAATACAAATATTCGATTGAATAAAATTAGAAATTCAAGGCAGGAAACGAAATGAAACTCGTACAGGGAAAGGGATAGCGCCAAAGGGTACCCAAACTTCCTAAACTACTTATTTGTCGGACCGAAATACTTTCATATGGTAATCAAAGGGATTTCTGTTTTCGTAATTAAGCCAATAAATGCACAAGAAAGTGGAGATAAACTCAAACTTATAGGGAACCCAGGAGGCGTAACCGAAATGTCGCCTAACCAATTGTATAATTAATTTCCGGTGTTGGTTTACCAACCCAAACCATTTAAATCCCATCTTCTGCAAGTGCTCGTGTTTCGCATTGAGCATTTTTTTAAAATTCCCAAAGGCGCAACAAAGCCTCGGTTTTTAGGAGCGTTTTTATGCCCAACAAAGCACGTGCCTAATATGCGACCGAACAAAGGGAAAACCGAGCAACTTGAGGAGTTTGCGGTTTGGTAGGGTTTCCTGTCCCCCGATCACTCACCTCGCTTTTTTCTCGGGCCCTCTGCAGAATCCTCTCCTCGATGGTTCCTTTGCAGATGAGTCGGTAGACAGTCACCTGTTTGGTTTGGCCCAAGCGATGGGCCCGATCCATGGCCTGTTGATCGACAGTGGGATTCCAATCCGAGTCGTAAAAAATGACCTACAAGAGGGGAGAATAGTTGAAAGATCTAATAAGCAATTATTGATATAAATGTAAATATTATAACTTAATATTGGATTAAATGACATTGTAGATAGTGCTCTTGGGTAATGTATTATGAATTTTCCAACAAAACATTTGCTAACACAAATTAGTAGGCAAATAGTTTCTAAACACGCACATCCTTTCGCTATTCCTTTGATGGTTTCGAGCCTGCATATTTATTAGGTTCTTCTTCGAATCGAACTACTTTGTAGTGTCACGAATTTTTCGCTTTTCCTGTCTATTATCTGGAGTAGAAAAAACTAGGAAAACACCGCCACCGGTGTTAACCCTTCGATGCCCCTGTTGAGCCGCACTTGGTACGTGTTTGGTGTGCAAGTGTTCAGTAATTTCCCGCCGGTTTCTCAAGGGTTGTCTTGAGGGAGTGGCGTTTCCGGCTGGAGAGATGGGACTAATTAAAATCGAACTGCTCAAGGGATTGATGTTTTCTTTTTTTATTTGGAACACGTGTTGAGCTCAATTCAGAGGCGTAAGAAGGAAGTTGTCCATTGAGAAATCTTAAATGGAATAAATATTCGATTGAATAGACAACACAGGAAGTCTGTATGTACTAACCCTATTTTGCATAATTTTGCGAATCGGAAATAGATTCGAAATTCAATAGGTGCTTTTATAAAAAAAAAATGTATTTTTAGTTATATTTTCTTAGAAAAGTAAAACTTTATTGGACATCGCACTAGTTTTCGTCACACTGCTTAATAAATACATATTAGTTGCACTTATTCAAGCATGCATAATATATCCATGAAAAATTAAAGAATTTAACTGCTATATGAACTACTTTCCTATATAAAAGCAAACAAACTTTTAAACTAATTCACAGTAGTAAAATGGGTATTGATAAGAATCTAGTTTTAATATATTTCAGTACCATCAGTAGCATTTCTATGGTTCAATGCAGCAATCAAGCCTTTGAATTTCGATGGATTGAGCAGAAATTGGACCATTTTCATAAGGATCCTCGAACTTTTAAAATGGTAATTTACAGATTACTTAACTTTTCAATAAGCTTCAAAATCAATCACCTTTTTTTTTAGAGATATGTGGTAAAGGAAGATTATTTTAAGCCAAACGGCACCATATTTTTCTTTATGGGAGGCGTTGGCTCAATTTGGTCTCCTACGACAAATGAATCAAATATTATGTTAACCAGTAGTTATATTAATGACTTAGCTAAACGATATGGAGGGTATCTGATACACAGCGAACATCGTTACTATGGAGAAAGTAAGCCGACAAAGTGCGTTTACATGAAATTAAATTCGTAAATTAACAAAGTTAAATTGTTATATAATTCGTTTCAGACTTCTCGACCTGCATTCTTTAAGATATCTCACAGTTCCGCAGGCCATGGCGGATGTGGCTACTTTAATTCGCTCTTTAAAAGAAAACACAACTTATTTCGGTGAATCCAAGGTATTTCTGGTGGGAGGATCGTATTCGGGGCTTATGGTCCCCTGGTTTGCCAAACTTTATCCCAGTTTGATTGACTTGGGATGGGCTTCCAGTGCTCCGGTTCGATTTAAAACTGAGTTTTGGGAGTTCTATGCGAATGTCTTCAAACTTATTCTTAAAATTGGAGGTAAGGAGTGTCATAGTCACATAACAAAGGGTTTTGATACTCTTAAGGCCGAAATAGACAAACATGACCTCAAAGAATTAATAGAAATGAATATTTGTGGATTTGACCATACAAATGATAGTTATGTTTTTAATCTTTTTGAGATCTTAACAAGAGTCATTGGAACTTTAGTGCAAGATGAAAAGTAAGATAATCGGTTAACATGTATTACAGAATAAAAATATAATAATATACTTTCCTTATGGTAAAAAGTATTCAAAAGGCTTGTGATGAAATTTCCCGAACATCATTTGCATCTTATCTCAAGAAAGAACTTCATGGAGATTCTACGAAATGCTACGACTCTGTTTCTAGTTTGGAATCTCTAAAGGATATTCATTATACCACGGATTCAGGTAACTGAGAACTGCCTTTCATAAGAAACTTCTTTATTTAATACTTATATTTCAGCTCGCCTTTGGCTGTACCAATGTTGTAGTGAGCTTGGAAATTTTAAAACCTCTAAATACGTCCCCCGTGATTTTTGGCTTGATATGTGTACTGATGTTTTTGGACATACGTTTTCTTTCTGTTATATAAACAGAAAGGTAAAAAAAACCGATCGTAATTTTCAGGATATGGAAAGCAATGAAAGTTTTCGACGAGTTTTTTTGACCCAACCGGAACTAGATGCGTGGTCAGTTACCAAAGTGAGAAAACATAATCGAACCTATATTTTAGAAGGTAACTATAACTTTATTATATATCTTACTGAACTACTTATCTATTTGAATTGATTAAGGTGCAACTCACTGCGAAGATCTGGAAAAATCGACGAAAAACGATAAGCCGTCTATAAAAATTTTGAAGATGGACATTGATTTTGAAGTTCAGAAGTTGCAAAATAGTCACCAACCAATAATAAATTAAAACACCTTTTTTAATACATAAAAAAAGCTTTACAACTTTCCATTTTAACACTGTCTTTAAAATGTCTCAAAAAAGTTTACATTACTCCTTGTAGGGGAGACCGTGGGGTCGTGAGACACGGGGGGTCGTGAGACGCGCTTACAGCCCTGAACTAAAAAGCGCGACATCTACCAGCTGACTGTGAAACTTCTTGCTTGTTTCCAATCTTCATTTCCACATCACAAGTATTCCGCTCATGCCGATTCTTTATGTCTTCCCAAATGGCAACTCCAATTTTGTGATCGAAAGTTTTGTAGACCGTTCGTGTTTGCTGTCTTTTCGCTTTGTTTTACAAGCTATTTGCGAGAGTGCATACATCCGAAACATTCCTTGGTGAGTAGCCTTTTGAAACACGGAACAAATTTTGCATAAACATTTAATGCGTCCGTAAAGCAGAAGCCATATTTAAAATATAGCTATTGGGGGGTCGAGAGACAACGTTCTCGGGGGGTTATGAGACATTCTATTACCGCGTCATCTAGGAACATAAAATTGTATTTTATAGCCTGATATAGTGTTTCTGTACACAAGTAAAACGTTTAATGATAATTTTGATATTTTTGATGGATTCAGTGTTTTTGATGATCTTTTTTCTTTCTTTAGTCATCATGGTGCGTCATAAGTATAGTCAGACTGCCAAATCTGCGATTGATGTCAATGTTTTTGTGACTGCTATAAAAGAGGTTGCTATCGAGAAAAAGCCGAAATCTTTTCAATTTGAATAAATTGTAGACCACAAAATATGCCTTATTAAAGATTAAAAATAACAATTTTGATAAAATTAAGCCATTTTCATTCTTATAAATTTGTGTCTCACAACCCCCCGAACCTTGCGAAAATCCATAAAAAACAACTTTTGAGCAGGCAGGCAAAACTTGAAGGTCGAACTAAAATTTCAACTAATTATACTCTTGTCTGAGTGAAATTACACTGAACTATGATTTAAAAATTTGTACGGGCAGAAAAATGGCTTTTCTATTATATTTTTTGTCAAAAAACAAAACACGTCTCAAAACCCCCCGGTCTCCCCTATAACCAGTGCCGTGTAACTTTATTACCAAAATTCTTGAAACTAGGTTTATCTTATAAACACCTATTTTAAAAATAGTTTTAGGACCTCACAAATTGATTAGGCATAGTAATACACTTTGTGTAATGGTATTGACTGCATTTTTCTTTTTTTAGAAACACCTATTTTAAAATTATCCCTAAAATAATTTTAACATATCCCAAACTCCTAAATCATTCGCAAACATCCTTTTTTTTAAACAACCCATTTTTAAAATATTTCATAAACGTTGCTGATTTAGTTTGTCATTCATCATTGTACTACAACTTGTTTAGTTCTTATCGGGTAACTCTATTACCTGCACTTTAAGTGCCCTTATGTTGAGTGAGTGAAACCAAATGATTGATAATTGAAACAGTCGTTGCGACCACAAAACCACTCGATAAGACGCCGCATGGCTTTCATGCGAATAAAAGCAAGCGCGCTAAATACCAACAATCATGTTAACCCGGTTGATAATATTATTTACTGGCACAAAAAACACTAATTAAGTACTTCTATGGCGATAAGATTTGGCTTTGAGCTAAACAAGCGATTTAGTTTGCATATAAGTTGTTGAAATTAGTTGATCAGTCCTAATTCAACACTCGGCGATCGACGATGAAGTTCTTGCTTGGAATTTCTCTGGCCGTTTTGGCCTTGGGTCAAGCCAATGGAAGTATTTTTGAGAGGACCTTCAAGAGGATCCATGAAGAGCCTCCACTGACGACCTCTCAGAGCCGAGCGGATGTAGTGCAGACCCTTTGGATCGAACAGAAGTTGGATCACTTCAATGAGTCAGAAACGCGCACCTGGCAAATGGTATATATTACTTTTTTACGTAATCCCAATGGGAATAATAAAGATAATACTTGTGTTAATACATATTTTTTTAATTAATTTCTAGCGTTATATGCTTAACGATGCTCTTTATCAATCCGGTGCACCTCTATTTATTTATCTTGGAGGAGAATGGGAGATTTCTGCTGGCAGAATTACTGGTGGCCATCTTTACGACATGGCCAAGGAACACAATGCCCTTTTGGCCTACACTGAACATCGTTACTATGGACAAAGCAAACCCTTGCCGTAAGAAAATCTTTTAAAATAATGGAGAGCAGCTTTAAGAAAATATTGGTTTTTTATAGCGATCTTTCCAACGAAAACATTAAGTATCTGAGTGTGAACCAGTCCTTGGCTGATCTGGCTCATTTCATCACTACCATCAAGCAGAACCATGAGGGTTTGTCCGACTCGAAGGTCATTATTGTGGGTGGCTCCTACTCGGCCACAATGGTCACCTGGTTCAAGAAGGTCTACCCCGATTTGGTGGCTGGAGGTTGGGCCTCAAGTGCGCCGCTCTTTGCCAAGGTTAACTTTGTTGGTAAGCTGAATTTTAATCTATTTCTTGCTAACACAGTAATAAATCTAAAATTATCTACAGAATACAAGGAAGTCACCGGCCAATCTATCGAGCAAATGGGTGGATCGGCGTGCTACAAGCGAATTGAGAACGGAATCGCCGAAATGGAGTCCATGATAGCCACCAAACGAGGAGCTGAAGTCAAGGCCCTGCTTAAACTTTGCGAGCCCTTCGATGTCTATAGCGATCTCGATGTCTGGACTTTGTTCAGCGAGATTTCCGATATCTTTGCGGGTGTGGTACAAACTCACAAGTGAGTAAAATAATTATAAACTTTCGAATGAAATTCAAATTTATTTTCCCCTTTTAGTGCTGGTCAGATCGAGGGTGTTTGCCAGAAGATAATGGCAGGGTCGAGTGATCTTATTGGTGTCGCTGGTTATCTGTTGGATGAATTTTTAGATAGCAATGAAAAGTGCGCCGATCTTAGCTATGATGGAATAATGGGAGTGCTTTTGGATACCTCCTACAATGGCAATATTAGTAAGTGCTTAGCATTATTTAGAACATCTATATTTTATGTTTTAAATTTTAATGAACCCTTTATATTTTAGTGCGTCAGTGGATTTTCCAGACCTGCAATGAGTATGGTTGGTATCAGACCTCCGGCTCCAGTGCCCAACCCTTTGGAACCAAGTTCCCTGTCACCTACTACACCACCATGTGTGCCGATCTCTATGGCTCTCAGTATGGCAACGAGTTCATTTCCAACCAGGTGAGCACCACCAATCAATACTTTGGAGGATTGTCTCCTGGCGTGGAAAACGTTTACCTCACCCATGGTCAACTGGATCCCTGGAGGGCGATGGGAATTCAGGACGCCGATCAGGCTACAATCATTCCAGGTGAGTTAATGAAGAACTATTTTATCAAACAGAAGTTATCAACTCTTGATTTTGCAGAGTATGCCCACTGCAAGGACTTCAATTCGATCAGCTCTAGTGACACTGCTGAGATGAAAGCCTCAAAGGAACGCATTGCAGAACTGGTTCGCGAGTGGGTTAAATAATCACAAAAGCCGTCACAGAAAATGAAAGGTCTTCTAAATGTATATAAGATTTAAGTTTAGGTGGCACACAAACCAGCAAACACATTAAAAAATCTTATCAAGATTAGATAAGATATCGACAAAATAAAAACGTATTAGTGGTTAATGACTTGTTACTCTATCTAATATTAATTATTGTCGATACAGATCTACGTAATTGTTTTATCTTAATTAATGAAAAAAAGTTGTTATTTAAATGAGAACTCATTAAAAACAAATGACATTTAACAATTCTTTTATGTACAATTAATGTGCGATTATTGGCCATGACTTGGGCAAAAACCGGCTGATAAAGTTATCATGTCGCAGCTGTGATTTTGGTTGACCGGCCGTGAATGGGAATTACCAACTAACTCTAGAAAAGATTCACATAAGCACCGATCGATTTATGATGGACGGCAATCGCCCAGTTGATGGCTATCATATCATGCCGCTGGTCACTTATCAAGTATGAGAAATTTACAATCCTTATCGTGGCCGCAAATTACTAGAGAACTCGTGTTGAGTTGATGGCTAACTTAAAAGCCTAAATCGGTCCGAATAGTTAGTTCATTTGCGAAAATGGCTGCTCTGGGTCTGGTCTGCCTTGCTGTGGTCTTGGCTGTAGGCCTAGTCCAATCCTTGGACACCTACAATGTTAAGGATGTGCCCGTTTTGGTCAAGACTTTGAAGAACTTGAACCGCGGTCCGCCGCAGCAGGTGATGACCAAAAGGGTTAATGTCGAGGAGAAATGGATCACCCAGAAACTGGATAACTTTGACGATAGCAACACAGGCACTTATCAGATGGTCAGTATTACGAAAATTCAACTTAATTACTTTGAAAAGTGTTTATGTAACTTCATAGCAAGTCTCAGTTTCTCAATGCAATTGCAAGCTAAAGATAAGAATGTGCATTTTAGCGTTATTTGGTCAATGATGAGTTCCAAACTGAGGGAAGTCCCATTTTCATTTACCTGGGTGGCGAGTGGGAGATCGAGCAGAGTATGGTCAGTGCTGGCCACTGGTACGATATGGCCGCTGAGCACAATGGTGTTCTCGTGTACACCGAACATCGTTACTACGGCCAAAGTGTTCCCACCACGTGAGTAGCCTTAAAACCTTGCTGTTACTTTAAATTAATCATAAATCCTTCAAAGAACCATGTCCACGGAGAACCTCAAGTATCTGGATGTAAAGCAGGCTTTGGCCGATGTGGCCCATTTCATTGAGACCTTCAAGTCGGAGAACGCCCAGCTGGCCAACTCAAAGGTGGTGCTGGCTGGTGGTTCCTACTCGGCCACCATGGTGGTGTGGTTCAAGCGCCTCTATCCCGACTTGGTTGTCGGTGGCTGGGCCTCCAGTGCCCCCATCTTGGCCAAGGTTGACTTCACCGAGTACAAGGAGGTGGTGGGCCAGGCCTTCCTCCAGCTGGGCGGACAGCAGTGCTACAACAGGATTGAGAACGGCATCGCCGAGCTGGAGTCCTTGTTCGCCAACAAGCGTGGAGCCGAAGCTAGGGCCATGTTGCGCCTGTGCAACAGCTTTGATGACCAAAACGATCTGGACTTGTGGTCCCTGTTCGGAAGTATCTCGAACGTCTTTTCTGGCGTGGCACAATACCAAAGGTAGGAGAAGTATGAAGTAAGGTATAAATATTTACAAGTAGGCAAAACCCAGCCAAAACATATTGACATTTTTATTGATTTTTTCAATACTTATTTCACTTGTTGAAAATAAGTGAATATTTTTTTCTTTATGGCGTTTAACAAAAATCTTTTCTGCTATATCACATCATGAAAACATACTAAAGAGATTTCTTGCGGAGTTGGCAACAAATGAATGCTTATGGAACTTATTTTACAATCAATACCGTCCACCAATTATTGATACTATAACAATTTAAAGCAAAAATAATTTACTTAATATCCATCAATATACCTCTTATAGCACCGGAGATATTGAGTATTACTGCGACTACCTTTTGAGCTTCCGAGATGATGCCACGGCCATTGCCAACTTTGTTTACTGGGCCTGGGGAATGCCAAATTGCATCGATGCCAGCTACGACAGCACTGTTGAATACTATCTGTGGGGAGTGGAACACTTCGATTCTGGTATGTGGTTGACTCTTTTATGATAAACCAAAAACTATCACTATCACTTGAATATCTTTTTTACAGGTCGTCCTTGGTATTACCAGACCTGCAATGAGTATGGCTGGTACCAAAGCTCTGGATCTAGGAACCAGCCCTTCGGCACCAAGTTCCCTGCCACCCTTTACACGACCCTCTGCGGAGATGTCTTCAGTTCGCAATACGGAAATGAACAGATCAACAACAACGCGGCCCAGACCAACGAGTACTTTGGTGGCATGGAGCCCGGAGTGGAGAATGTCTACATGACCCACGGTGCCCTGGATCCGTGGAACCCCATGGGCCATGGAGTGGCAGAGGGAGCCACCGTCATCGCCAATGCCTCGCATTGCTCCGACTTTGGATCGGTCAGGTCTACAGACTCTGAGGAAATGCGTGCCTCCAAGGAAAAACTCGCCGAACTGGTGCGCCAGTGGTTGGCTTAGATTTCTTGGCCGAAGATTTTCAATATTTTATATTATTTTTTGTAATAAAAGAAAAACAGAACTTAATGTTTTCCTCTATAACGTTAAACTTTTGTAAGAAATTTTAAAAGCTTGTATCTTCTCATTTTATACAGCACTCTAGTTCTACTTATTTATCGGAATTATTATGAAGTTACATAAATTACCCATTATATTGGACCCGGTAATTTTAAATGATGATCAATTGCATGGGCGCTATGAAAAACACATTTTCTTTAAAACTACGTAAAGCCGAAAAGTATGCAAGGTTTTTCGGTTGAGTTTAAACGGAAGAAAAGAAAATTCTTATCCTGGCGAAATCGTGAAACAGTAGTCGAAGCAACCTAAAAGTTAGAAATAAATGTGGTTTCTAATATAACAATTTTGAAGGCTAAGTGAACATCTATTTGGGTTTAAATATTATAGAACACTTTTGTTAACACTATTAAGCTGGAATTAATAGACCATATTATTAAGTATTGACTGTACTTGATTAGAAAAATAATAGAGAAAATAATTTTGCAAAGTTTTTTTTTTTTTTTGACATACTTGATAAGACAAATGATTCAACGAATGTAATTTTGCAAGGTTCTTTTCTTACATCACGATAAGAAGCCGGCTTATTGACCAAGGAACGTGAAAAAGTAAATATTTGGTAACACAACAATGGTCAATAAATTTGTCGCGTTTGCTTATATGGGATTAAATTAACAAGTGTTGAGGCACGTGTAAGCAATGCAACAAATAGGTAATATTATTACTTCATGAGTTTAGTATTGGGAAAAGTTTAATAATATGGCGAAAATGTAAGATATTCATGTAGATCATTTCTTATACCATTCTCATAAACGCTTCACATTAACTGCTTAATCTATTTATGAACTATTTAAAATAAAATTTGTTAGAATTTGCAAAGGTTAGAAATACAGATGTAATGTATATTTAATAACATTAAAGTAAGTGAACAACTTGTTACAACTAAGTAAGCAATGCAACAAATAGGTAATGTTTTTAGCTCATTAGTTTAATAACAGGAAAAATTTATAATAAGGCGACATGTGTAAAATATTGATGTAGACCAATTTTTACACCATGCTCACAAATGGTTTTTTAAAACTTGGAAGAAGGGCTTTGCCAGTATTAACTTTAAAAAATGGTTTTCGTTTTGATTCTATTGCCTCATTGAGCTATTCAAATTTTTTAATACTTGTAAAGCTTAGAAATACACACATAATGTAATTGAATTACATTAAAGTTAGTAAAAAACCTATTACAACTATAATTACAATTTTCCGCTTTAATTAAGATTAATTTTATTATAGTTTACTGAAATATCTTCAACCCCACAATATTATTTTTGGTGAGTCTATTATCAGTTACGTAAATAGCTTCACTCAGATCTTAGGAAATTGTTGCACAATAGATGACTTTTGGTATTCCAAAAGCATTATAATGAACCTAGCTCAAATAAGGTAATTCAGGGCGCGATACAGACAAAGAACCCTTGACATTATCAGTGTTATATATTTTCCTATATTTGTTTGCCTTGCAATCAAGTGCCAAAAGACGCTATCTACGGCTGATGCGGCAGCCAGTAGGGAATATTTTCCAATAAATAGTCGACCACCAATGGTGGAAAATCATTCGCAAACTAGTGAACTATCAAGCAATATGAATTATATTATCGTAGTAGTAGCCTTGTTGGCACCCCTGACCGCGGCAGCCAGTCTGGGTGAACAGAGGCCGGAGCCAAATGCCTTCGTCAAATCTCTGAGGGATTTGCACAGAGGTCCTCCAGTTGAACCATTGAAGACCAGGGCCACCAAGGTGGAGGAGCGCTGGTTCACCCAAAAGCTGGACAATTTTGACGATAGCAACAATGCCACATGGCAGGATGTAAGATTCTTACGAAGCTTTAGTATACTTCTCTACTCCAACTCTTATTTTGTTCCTTAGCGCGTCTATATCAACACTAAGTACTTTGTTGATGGCAACCCCATTTTCATCTACCTCGGTGGAGAATGGGCTATCGATCCAAGTGGCATTACCTCTGGACTCTGGAAGGACATTGCTAAAAGTCACAAAGGTGCCCTGGTCTACACCGAACATCGTTTCTTTGGCGAGAGTTTCCCAATAACGTAAGTTAGACAAACACAAAGGGTTCTTTTAATGTTAGTATTTAAAAACCAACACCTTTAGTCCTCTGTCTACCGAGAACCTCGAGAAATACCAGAATGTCGAACAGGCTTTGGCCGATGTGATCAACGTAATTAAAACCCTGAAGGAGGAGGACAAGTACAAGGATTCCAAGGTAGTGGTGTCTGGCTGCTCCTACTCGGCCACCATGGCCACCTGGATCAGGAAGCTCTATCCCGATGTCATCAGGGGAAGCTGGGCCTCCTCTGCTCCGATCGTGGCCAAGGTGAACTTCAAGGACTACATGAAAGTTGTTGGCGAGTCCTATGCCACCCTTGGAGGACAATATTGCTACGATCTGATCGACAATGCTACTGCCTACTACGAGAACCTTTTCGATATTGGAAATGGCACTCAAGCCGCGAAGGAACTAAATCTGTGCTCCAACTTTAACGCTACCAACGAAAAGGATCGCTGGCAGATATTCAGCACTATTGCCAATATTTTTGCCGGCATTGCTCAATACCAAAAGTAAGTGGTACGAACCAACCAAACGAACTTATTTTGATTTAAAATGTTCTCTTTAGGCCAGAAAACTACGACATTCCCAAGTACTGTTCTATTCTGCGAGAGTTTAGTGACGATGATTCTGTGGCTTTGTCGAAGTTCATCAACTGGAAAATCAACGAACATTCTGGAGAATGCCTGAGTACCACCTTCAACGGAGCGGTGGGATACTACGAATGGTCCAAGGAGAACTACGAAGACAGTAAGTGATTTTAACTTAAAGTTTACTCTTTTTTATAACCGACATTTTCCTCTCTTTTAAGGCGACTTGCCTTGGATTTTCCAGACCTGCAACGAATTCGGATGGTTCCAATCTTCGGGCAGCAGCAGCCAACCCTTTGGATCTACCTTCCCGGCTACTCTGTACGAGGACACATGCGAGGGAGTCTTTGGCTCGAAATACGACTCTGCTGGCATCCACTCCAAAATCCGGGCAACGAACAATAAGTTTGGAGGCCTAGACGTCAACGCCACCAACATCTACTTTGTGCAAGGCGCTTTGGATGGCTGGAGCAAGGTGGGTGCTGGAGTGGCCCAGGGAGCCACCATTATCCCCGACGCCTCCCATTGTCCGGATACCGGATCGATCAGTGCCACCGATAGTGCCGCTCTGGTGGCCTCCAAGCAGAAGCTGATCAAGCTCGTGGCCGAATGGCTGGAGGACTGAGATCTCAATCAGTAGAATTTTTTTTTTAGATTTTAGAACTAATTCTATTTTTTGTTTTAAAAATGTATTATTATCAATAACCACCAATAATTTGGCTTAATAAAATACTTTACATCTTAATATTATTAACTTTTTATTATACAACCTTACACATTTAATCAATTAACGAACCAGTATTGAATTTCAACAAAATGATTATTTAATCTTGGCGTTTTCAACTAGTCCACTTGTCCTTTGCTCAATTAGCAAATCAATTGACGGGCTAACTGCCTAGAGTATTAATTGCCATGACTAATCGAAGATAAGTGGACGATGAGAGTGCCCTTTAGAATGTCAAGATCCGACAACTTGAAATGACTTAAAAAGAACAAAGTTCTTGAACTCTGTTTCTAAAACAGCACGCTTTAATTGTATTTTCAAGAGAAAAGATTTGCAAATATGATGCAATAAAATCTGAAAATTTAGCAGACTATCACGGACATAGACAGTCCCCAAAAAGTGAGGAAAGGTGGGAAGTGGAGAAAGAGCGGACTCCTACACCCAATGAATTGCACTAAATCCAGAAACGTGTTGGGCATATCAAGATCAGTAGACAGCCGGCTACTTAAAGACTTTGAGCTGCTTTAGAAAATGTCATAAATCTTGCCAGCCGAAACCGAATCGAGTCCCGCATTATAATGACTTGAGGAGATCCATTTAACAAGTCCCAAGTGAACTTGATATCAACAATACAATTTGCTTATAAATAGCATTAAATACAATTAAATTTTGGGCTTTGTGTCATTTAAAATGTAACTGGTACACTTTTTCCTTCCTCTTCTCTGAAGAAATGCCAAAGTGTTGAGTTTTTTGGTCAAATTATTTTGGTATGCGACAAAGACATGAACGGGAAATACTTTTGTTCTTGTCGAATGTTCTCAAAGGAGAAGAATGAGGGGCAAAGCTCTTCTCGTTGGTGTTTGAGAAATTATATCGAAAAAGAAATAAAAATTCTTGACATAATTTAAGAGGTTGTTGAAATTGGCTAATTTTTTTTTTTTTTTGGGACTAAGATATCATTAATATTTGTAAGTAAAATATAATTTTTACCGTAAAATTGTCTTGTATTTTATATTAGGGATATAGTATGACATTATTACATTTTTAAATAATATTTATTTATTAATACATTTTTTTCAATAGAGGATTTTTAAAATTCAAACAACTATTAAAGGTTGGTTCTGAGTCACCTCGCGGAATCTTCCCAAACCACGATGAGTTATAAAAGATCTTTGAATGGTGAACAATCAGTCTGCCGAAATACCAACATCGAATTAGTCAACTGTGGACACAAAACTGAGAAAGCGAGACGGGGAGGCCAATCCAGCAACTGAACTGAGCCTGAGAACCTGGCTATAAACTGGCAGAGGAGTAGAAGCCGAAACCAAATTACTCTTGGCCAGGGAGTGCAAATAACAAATCAAAACCGGTGACAAAATGATTTAGGAACCGGGCGAAAATGTTCACACGAGCAGGCAACCAAAGAAAAGATCGGACAGAACCGACCAGAAATCGAACAAGAAGCGCTGGGGGAGAAACATGCAAAGATTCGGTTCGATTTTGTATCCTTTTCGGCTGAGAATTCTTCTACGTGGTCGCTGGACTCGGATTGGTGGGTCTCATTGTTACGCGGCGATAAAGATCACACGAGTAAATCATGGTCTGCCGCCACTCACTCCCAGCTCATCCCCATCCGCATCCCAGCGCTCCACCACCCCGAATCAAGATTCAACCTTGACTGCCGCAATGCATGAACAAGTAGTTTAGCAAATGGATACAAGAGCCACACAGGGTTTTTCCGCCTTCGGGCTTGAGACAATGACATCGAACTCTCTTCTATAATGGCGAGTTAAATATTGTCGAAAAGCTATGCAGAAATCATCAAGTTGATAGCGAGAGCTAAAAGGTAATAAAAGTTCCCTCTTTGAAATTATCGATATGTAATTGATTCGAAAATGTTATAAAGTACTATCATATGCAAATGTCGTACTCTCTCAAAGCTGAAATAAATATATTAATGGATGACAAAGAATAGTAGGATCTTGTTCGATAATTAATTCAGCAAAACTTTCCGCAACCGTAATCTTTTAGTTCTGCTTAATATAACAATTGGTATGAAGTGCCTACTCAAGGCACTGGTCAATTAAAATTTCACGCTCTTTAAAAAGCTAGACTTATTAATCAATCTTGGCAAAGTGGTTTCTTACAGATTTGTTTACCATTGCATTGATAAAGCTACACTTTACAAACTTTTTGTTACCTTTTTATCTTGGAATTTAAACTAGAAAATGTGGGATTTTCCATTGTTATTATTTAAAATTACTTCTCAGGATAATAAATGAAATTTTCTCCTAAAATTGCACTTTTACTTTAATTTGCACTTCACTTAAAATATTGAATACACTGATTCGAGCTACTGGGCACGAACATTGTCATAAATTTTTACTACATCTTCGTCCTGCAAAAGATTTTTACGGAACTCCTGGTAACGCGTCATCTGTCGATCGGTTAAGTTCACCAGCTTGTTTGGACAATGTCCCACTTCCGTGTGGGTAATCTTGTACTTGCACTGCTGCAGTTTTTCCGTCACCTCTCGCAGGTCGTATGGTCGACACTTAAACAAAACATTGCCCTTGCCCAAATCGACAATGGCGGAATCAGTGGCCTTGCACCACAATGCATCCGTTCGCAAGGTTTGATTGAAATCGTCAAAACTAAATGATAATTTGCTGGGCAAGGTGGCTTCAATCAAGCCAGTTTCGGTGAATAAATGCCTATTGAAAAAGCGCGCCTTGCCTTGCTTAAGAAAATTGGCTAAACGAAGCTTCAGGTCGCTGAGGTTATCAGTCCTGACCTTGCAAATCATGGCGACCAATTGACGACCGTAGTCCATGGGCAGGCTGTAGGTGCTGTGATTCCTTTCGTTCAATTCGCACTCCTTCAGGATGCGTTGCACTTGACTGTAGGGCAGCAGGAGGGGAGACAGTTGGGCCTTCAGTTCGTAATTCTTCTCGGGATCTATGGAACCGCCACCGCGATGAACCGCCAATCGCAGTTTATTAGCCAGTTTAACTTCGTCTGGTGTATCCTGATCAAATCGGTTTGGTTTGGTGCCCAGTCGGGAGACGAAAGTGGAGGACTTACTCGAGCTCCTGTCTCCATACATAGGAGCCCATCGCACCCTTTTAACGACTATTGGCTCTTGTTCCGAAGGCAACTCCAAATCAAGCCCATTACGCTTGTCGTTCTCCAGTTTTGGGGAATCACTGCGGATTAACGTTGGCTTTGGTCGGTAGGGATTTATGCTGGACTTTATCTGAGGAAGTTTCATGGTAGTCATCTTGTCCACGGGGTCAAGACAGCGGTTTAAAGACATGTTCACAAAACTTATAATTTTGACTAAATGTTGATTTTATAAGATTTATCGGGTATTGTCGATTTCTTCTATAAAAATGTAAATAACTGAATTTTCGGAGATAACACGATTGGAAAGTTTTCGGCATGACTTTAGCCTAAGGATAAACTTAATACAAGTTTCTAAATGTTTTTTTTAATGGATAGTCAGTTGAAAGAACTCCTAATAAATGTGCTCCTAAATTGCGGCAAAGTTGACAATTGGTACATTATTTGTATTTCGCTAAGAATACGAGTATTCGGAATTGTTATTTTAATTGGTATATTTGTCATTTAAATTAAAGATAATAAAATCATCATTATTATGAAAAATGTACTCACCGTATCAGCAGCGGTTAAATTAATTCCCAAGCCTCCAGCTCTCGTTGAAAGCAGAAATACGAAAATATCGGCCCTTGTTTGGAAATCAGCAACCATATCGCGACGAGCGGAGATCTTGCTCGAGCCATCCAATCGCATGTATCGATGCTTGCGGTGCCACATGTACTCCTGGAAATTAAATAAAATATTTGTTAAACAGAATACGGTTTAAGGCGTTGAAAACGCACCTCCAGCAAGTCAATCATCTTGGTCATCTGTGAGTAGATGAGAACTCGATGACCATTCGCCTTGAGACGAGTAAGCAGGGTATCCAAAACAAACAGCTTGCCGGCGTCGGTAATCAAAGTCTCCTTGTCAGGCACCACAATCGAGGACCAACCACTGAGGGGTTTGCACAAGGCCAATCCGCTGGAGACGAGCTCTCTGCCTTGGCTGTTTTCGCACTGCTCGTGACGAATCTGCGTCCAGGCAGCACTGCGGCTCTCACAGCTATAAAAAAATTAACAAATATTTAGTAACCATTTAAATTTAATGCTAATAAAAACTCACTATAAATGCCTATCTACCGCTTGCACTTTCTGACCCAAATCGTAAAGAAGTCGTGGCATCGAAAGCGGCTCACATTTATAGCTCCTCGGTTTTCGAGGGCGATGCGGAAACTCGGGAAGCAGTAGCAGAGTGGTCACCTTTACATCACTCTTGGCATTCGACTTTGTTTGAACCTCCACAGATTCCATTTCCAACTCCTGCTTGGACTCCTCCATTTCCTCTATCAATGCGGTTTTTTCTTTGAGAATCTTTGAGCGGATCACACGATGTTCAATCGTTTCTTGCATGTTGTAGGTGAAGTAGTCACCAAAAGCGTAAACGCTGCTCTCATGAGTGGTCTGTTAGAAAACAAGTTATTTTTCTTTTTGTAAAAATGTGCAAATTTAAATAATTTACCATCGCTGTAAAAAGGAAGTTCCTAAGTACACTGTCCGAAGGCATATAGTCCAGAACTAGTTTGTTTTCTAGCATTGGCTCCAGCAGTTGATACCGACTGTCAGGTTGCTTTTTCCACCAAAATCGGCGGTAGGCGACCAGTGGATATTTCTCCAGCACTCGACGGTAATGCAAAAGACTGCGAACGAAGTTATTTAAATTAAGATGCAACTACTTAATTAAAATCGGTTACGGTATACTCACAAGTCAATCAGTCCATTCAGTGTCACATCCACCATATCTCCCACAGATAAATCACACAAACGGGTGAAGCCAAAGCAACTATCCACATTTACATCCTCGAAAAGAGATTTTTGCATATACTCCGATTTAAAGATACTAAATCGATTGTAGAGCAAATGCTTTCGACTGGGAAGTGATCTGTGAGTGAGTCCTTCTTCGTAAACTAATCTGGGAATCGTGTACTCCGCGCATCGCATAAAGAACGGACTCCTGGCATCTCTCCGTTCAAAGAGCTCTGGATGATTGCACACCTTGCGGAACTGCATGACCAGATTCATAAGATTTGAGGCAGATGAGGACGTCGAAGTGGTAGTGGATCCACTGGTCAGGTGCAAAAGATCCTCAATCCGGATTTTACTCTTCAGCGCCCTGTAGAGCAACTTTTGGCGAATGGTCAGCGGGCAGTAAACCATAATCTCGATCTTATCCGACAGCTCGTTCTCCACATCCTTCTTTATTCGTCGTAACATAAAGGGTTTGAGGATCATGTGCAGCCTGGAGATTTGTTTCTCATCAATGCCCGTTTTGTTTTCAGCATGGGATTCAATGTCTTTTGAGAACCACTCGTTAAACTCATCATGGGAATCAAACAACGTCGGCATGATGAAGTGCAGCAGTGCCCAGAGCTCTGCCATGCTGTTCTGAATCGGAGTGCCACTAAGGAGTAGTCGATTCCGACAGCTGAATCCCAATAGCAACTTCCATCGTTGGGAGGCGGCGCTCTTGATGGCTTGTGCCTCGTCCAAAACCATGTACTGCCACTTGATCCGGTTGAAATACTTGTAATCGCTGACCACAAGCTGGTAGGAAGTAATCACCACATGGAAGCTGGCATCGCGGGTGTGCAGATGTTTCTGATCCCAAAACTGACGCAGGATCTTTCGTTCGCTAGGGGAACCCCAATATGGCACCACCTTAAAGTCTGGCACGAATCTTGACATCTCCTGCTGCCAATTGTGCAGTGTGGATGCAGGTGAGATCACCAAAAAGGGACCCCACACTCCGTAGTGCTCGGCTACGTGACAAAGGAATGCAATAGATTGGACTGTCTTGCCCAAACCCATTTCGTCTGCCAGGATGCCACTGATTCCCTGATCGTAGATGTTTGCCAGCCAGGTCATGCCCTTGATTTGATAGCCCTTAAGTGTTCCCTTGAACATCTTTGGTTGCGGTAGGTCCTTCATCTCCGGGCGGGGTTCTGCTTTAATTTCCACCTCTCCCTCCTGTTCTTGTTCTTTTTCTGGTTCTGGCTCCGGTTCCTCTTCTTCCTCCTCCTCCTTCTTTACACACACATCGAATGCCCTGGTTTTATCTAGATCCCTTTGAATGGCTGCCTCGGCGTTCTCCTGAGCTAGCAGCTTCATCTCCCCTGCGTCGTAGTCATCTTGAATCGCCAGCTTGGCGTTGGTCTCCTCGTCCAGCTGGCTGAGAATGCGCAACTGATCCTCCTCGGTGCCCTGGCCGAGTTTTTTGGACATGAAATGGGCATACAACTCGGTTTGTGTGATAAGGAAATTCAGCTTTCGCTGCTGGCGCTTCACTTCGATAAGTTCAACGTCCTGTTTGCGCTGTTCCTCCGCCTCGCGCTCTTGTTTGCGCCGCTGATCCCGCTCCACGCGCTCGTACCGCTTCCAATAGGTGAGCATTTCCCTGGTAAGTCGCTTCGCACGCCACACCGTTTCCTTCATGATCCTTTGGGAGTTGAGAGCCCGCTGGCGCACCACTTTAGCGCACATGCCAGCCACCCGCTTGCAATTGGCCAGCATTTCTTTGTGATTATTACTTTTGATGCGTTGCAATCTGCCAGACTCCTTTTTAGACATAATCTGCCAGATGCGACGACGTCGAGCGGCCAATGCAGCCGGGTTCTTTCGCTTCCGTCGGACTTTAGTCACTTGACCCTCGGCGCCGCCCACCACGTCCACCTCCTCCTCTATTTCCTCTTCTTCTGGATAATCCAGGGCCAGGCTGGCCAGCTCTCTCTTGTAGTCCACCTCGCCACCATCCTCGTCTTCGTCCTCGTTGGTGGGCAGTGTGTCGCCAAATGAGTACTTGCCCAGCTCCGACGGAGGCACCTCTCCGGATTCTGGTGATCCCATCATATCTCGTTTCTTGCGACCCCTTCTTCGTTGCTTGGGCGGCTTTGGTCCTGCTTGAGCTTCAGCCAAACGAGCCATAAGGATCTCCTGCTTGGTGCGACGGCGCCTCTTTCGTACTCCTGCTGTCGCCTGCTGGCGCTCGGCAAAAATGTCGTGGTTCGATAGCAGACCACTGCCATAATATGCATACTGGGCATTCTGAAAGGGATTAAAGTGGGGAAAAATAAGTAAACATTTTCTTGCTAATATATTTTGTGGTTAAATTGAAGTAAAAGTTCTAAGCTTAGAGAATCTCTAGGCCCTAACTGTATATACTCACGGTTGCCTTTTTATAGTAGTTCTTCCGCTGTCGCTGCTCCCGGACGTGCTCCCTCAGCAGCTGCTGCACATACTCATCCTCCGTAATTGTGGGGTCGTCACTTTCCGTATCGCTCAGAAGGACATCATACAGCCACTCTCGATCGCTGGTCAGATCGTTAAAGTTATACAGCTGCGCCTTGACGCTTTGCCGCTCTGTGAAGAAGACTTTTAGTCAGAACTCCACATTTCTTCACTACCAACTCACCCTCTTTGCTGCCCAGTAAACGATGCTTTCGCTTTTTGGATTTTCTCATCTTGACTACGCCCACAGTGGAGGAGTCATCAGAATCCAGGGGCTCCTGCTCCCTTTTGACCACATGCTCCTCGTCACTTTCATCGTTGCTGCTCAGTGGTTTCCGCAAAACTCTTTTGGCCATGTCCATGAAGGGTCGCATGTTGAGGGCCGCTTCTAAGCGCTGGATGTGCAGCGGCTCCGCCATAAGACGGGGGCGTTGCTGGGGTGCCACCACGGGTTTGACATCCATGGTGAAGGCTATTTCAGTCAGCTTTTCGGCACAATTATCACGTAATTTTGCAACTTATTCGGCATGCGTCCATTAAGGTAAACAATAGTGTGACCGCATTGGCATCGGCGAAAAATACCGGCCTGTCGATCATAAATACTATAAACTATTGCTTATTATTCTGTGGCTGTCGATAAGAGAGACGAAGGGAAATTACATTTTAGATGTATGTTCAACAAGCGCGAGAAAGCTTACATTAAATAAAAACAGAAAAATGTGAAAAAATCTCCCTTACAAAACATATCATAACTAAACCTTTGTGTATCAAACCGTCGTAACTTCTGTGAACCGATGCCATTCATTTTTTACAGTGTAAGGTTAAACAAAAATACCGGTAAGAGTTTCACCTCTAACCGGGGTTTCCCTGTTTTCCAACACTAAAACCACTTTAGTTCGATCAGCTGTTCTGTCTGTTTTTATTTTCCGTGTTATTGTTACATTGTTCAGTTAATAACCGGTATTACATATATCAACAAAGGGAAATCTTAAATCTCTAATTTTAAAAATAATATCAGTTGCAATGTCTTGGTCAACTGGATTAGTCAAAGACATGTTAAAACCCGAAAACATGATAATTTCATCAGAACTCGGAGTTGTTATAGCAGATAAGTTTCCCAAGGCGCTGCATCACTACCTAGTGCTTCCCTTAGCCGATATTTCGAGCATATTTCAGGTGAGCAAAAAAGCTGAAAACGCCAGATGTTGTATACTACTAAAAATGTTATTTTAGTTGAACAAGAGTCATCTGCCGCTCTTGGAGGAACTTCTTCTTCTGGCCCGAAACGTTGTGGAGGTCAAAGGAGTGCGCTGGGAGGACTTTCAGGTGGGATTTCATGCGGAGCCAAGCATGCAAAGGCTACATTTGCATGTTATATCCACCGATTTTGTTTCCCCAAGTCTAAAGACTAAAAAACACTGGAACTCCTTCAACACCGAGCTATTTGTGCCATACAAAAGTAAGAGGTTATATTTCTAGTGTTTTGATTTCCTAGATACTGATAATTGAACTGACTACATTTTAATGGGATTACCCTGCTTAGATTGTTTATTGAATACTTTGATTATTTTTGTTTTGGGTGACCAAAATTTTGGGTAGTATTTTTAAGCACTAATATTTATTTAACTAATTGTTTTAGAACTTTGCGAACAGCTGGAGAAAAATAACTGCTTTGCGCGACTGCCCAAATCGCTGGTAGACGAGTTGCTGTCCAAGCCGCTAAATTGCAACCAGTGCAACTTTGTGGGAAAAAATTTGCCAACACTCAAGGAGCATCTGGTGGATCACCTTCAAGATAACATTCGCAAGCGAACCACTAGTACGTACTAGAGAACCAGTTCTTCCCTCTAAAGAACCGAGAACAGTCAGTTTGGAATCTTTTCCAGCACTCCCGGCTGATTTTTGAGATATTATCCAGAGCTTTTCTCGGTTAAATTTCGGTGATTTACACAATTGTTACACAGGCGAATCAATTAAAATGGAAAAAGACGAAAAGGCGTTTTTTCGGGATGAGCTAAAGCGCAAGCTAAATGACAAGAGGAACTTCCTTATCGAGACTGATCGGGCGGTGGTCATCAAAGCGGATTTCCCTAAATCGCAGTATCACTTTCGCGTAGTGGCTAAGGAGGAGTTGGGGGATGTAACTAAGGTGGGTCCGTTAAAAGTCTTTGTGTTCGTTATTAAGGGTTCGGGTGTTTCATTAGATAACTGGAGAACAGCTGCCTTTGTTGGATCACATGATGGAACTGGCCAATCAAATAATCGAAAAGCAGGAACACCTGGAGTCAGTTAACTTTCGCATTGGTTTTAAAGTCCACACCTTTTGGAACCGCCTCAATCTGCACGTAATATCAGATGATTTTTACTCCATGGCTATGAAACGTCCGCGCCACTGGAATAGCTTTAATACGGAGATATTTATGCCCTTTCAAATGGTCCACATGATGCTCAGCCTCCAGGGCTCCATTGAACCTATGTCGGAGGAGAAGTTTAAGGAGCTTCAGCTTCAGAGGCCATTGCGTTGCAACCAGTGCGATTTTTCCACCGAGTTGTTGCTAGATCTAAAAGCTCATCTATACCACCACTGGCAGCGTAAGGAAGGCGAACGCGAGCATAAGAAAAAAATGGAAAAAATAATTCAAAAGCTGGATGAGGCGAAGCTAGACACGCCGGTAAAACCAGCAGAACCAGCTGAAGTTTCTAGCCAAAATCAGCCGGCAGCTGAAAGCGCCCAGTTGCCCAATCAAAACCCGAGAAATCCCTTCCAAACCCCTCAGCAACTGCAGGCACAGCTTCAGGCCGAGAACGGATATAGCCAGAATATATATGGACCACCGGTCAACATGATGAATCTGCAGAATCCCAATAATCCGTTTCGCAACACTCCGTCTCTTAACATTCAGTCCATGAATCCGCCGCAGCCCAATAGGTTTAATTACCGGCCGCCCGGCTATAGGCCACGTGGTCCTATGCAAAATCAAGGACCTAGAGCTCATTGGAACGGACCTCGATTTCCACCTCGTCAACAGCAAAACGTCTTCAGGCATCCGGGAGCATCGCCTCCAATGAACTTTCCAGGAGCTCAGCCTTATCCAATTCATGCTGGACCCAGTGGTCAACCCAATGGACCTCGACCAAAATGGGTGCCACAAAATGTAGGACAGCAGAACCAACAGTATCCGAATCAACATAATCAGCAGAACTCTAATCATCAGCAGCCGAATCAGAATCGCTATCAACCAAATCGCCCACAAAGGTATAATCCTAATCAAGTAAACCGTCAGAATCCAGATCCGAATCGCCAGAATCCTCAACCGAATCGCCAGAATCCAGACCAAAATCGCCAAAATCCGAATAACCAGAACCAAAATCAAAATAAAAAGGCAGCAAACCAAAAAAATCAGCAGCAATCTTCTGGCAAACCACAAAACCAGGCTCCACCACCTGCCAACAATTCAAAACCAGCTGGTACTTCCTAGATCATTTATATTATTTAAGCCATTTAAAATTGATTACAACATTTTTTTTTTAATTGGCTTACAATAACCACATAAAAACCAAGTTAAAAATCACTCCTGTGTTTTATCAACTAAAATTTTTTTAAAATACCAACATTTATTTATAAAACCTTGCAGTAAGGTTACTCATTTAATGTAAATTTTAACGCCTTTCCAAGGCGGAAATAACAAAAAAAAAATTTCAAACAAATTACAGAAACTTAATTATACAATTTTTAAAAACGCAACTTTGTGACATTAAGTGTAAAACACACTGGTTGTTATTAATGCCAATATACCTTCATCCATTCCTTTACCAAAAGAATGTAAATCAAATTACAGAAATTGGATTAAATTAAAAAAAAAAAATGAAACCATGTGACTTTGAATGTTAAACACACTGATTATTATTGATGTCAACATCTAATTCCTATACCAAATCAATGTAAAACATTACAAGAACTGAATTGATTGGATATAATGATTAAGAAACAAAACTATTTGATATCGAATTTAAACACACTCATTCCTATACCAGAATCATTTAAATCTTATTAAACGATCTGAATAAATTGGATATAATGATTACGAAACAACTATTTGTTTTCGAACCTAAACATACTTGTTAAATTTAATACCAATTACTAATTTTGTCGTGCTTCAACAAAATAAATATTTGTGTATGAACATGAATAGTTCTAGGAACTTCTGCATCGCAGATATCGTTTTAATTTTACTAAGAAAAACCGTTTTCTTTGCCACCCACCTGCACAACCCATTGGAAGACTCAATTAGAGTGCTTTGGCCAACTGGAAAAATACCAACCCACGGCTAATTAAGCAGCCACTGAAGAGAGTCAACAGCGCAGCTCCTCCCCCGAGCTGACTGTAACGCTTATTAAATTATAAGTCTGAATCTGAGAAGTGGACAAAGTTTGTTCGATCCAATGGGAGAGGAATAATTTCAAAGTCTAATTATCGATTTAAACTTTCTGTGATGGTGACCCTTATTCCCCCCAGAATAATATGGTGACCAGAATAAGATGATGAGCAAATCGTTAGCTCAAAGGTACAGGTTCACTTTAGTTAAGATCTCGATAGTGAATTCATTTACCTTATCAGCATTAACTTGTGAATCAATATAGCCCTATCAGTCTGTCCATCTGTTCGTTTGCCCGTTTCTATCTACATTAGTCTCAGTTTTCAAGCTATGTTTCTGGAACATTACAACATATAATATATGAACTCGTTATATTATTTTCATCTACGAATAAAATTTAATGCAATTGTATTGTTCTTAAATTATTGCTTATTGCTTAAATGTATTGTTCATTATGAAAATGGAAGGCTCTAAATAATTAATTATTGAAAAAGACCCCCATGGACATCCTCACATAAGTGTATAATTTTTGGCACGTTTACCATTCATTTTAAACTTTACAAGGAAAAATATCAGGCTACGAAGCAACAAAGCCACTTTCATACGTAAAAGCAGTGCCACGCAGCCAAGTTAATCCACATCAGAGCCATAAACAAAATTCAAGGCAGCAGCCCTGAGCCAGACACGGTCCTTGTGTGTTTGTTGCCACAATTTAAATTTGCCTCGACTTTTTTTAGTGTGTCACAGTGTCAAGGTGCTCGAAAGCTGGCACTCAAGCCAGAGCCCCATCGATACGCTTTGGGGGTGAACTTGTCTCTACTTTCGGGCTCCAGTTTCGGTGAGCAATCAACAGCTCCATTAAAGCTATCTCTCAAAGCCTTGCCACCTGTTATGTCTCGAGCAACAGGAGGCCATTCATAAAGGACGTTACTTTCGAGCCAGAGAGAAGCGAAAAGCTCTCAAAGGGAAATCACTCGATTTGAGTCCCTTGTTCTGGGCGCATGCTCGCAGACGAAAGCTTTTTACATTGGAGGAGATTTAATATTGAGATGAGAAACAAAACCAGGAGTGAATAAAAGAAGGGGATGTTTGCACGTGTGGTTTTCCGCTTAAAATACCCGTTTAATGATCTGTAGATCTTGCTAATAAGGTGTCAAGTCCTTAAAATACAGCTTTAATTTTCATTGTGATGCCACGAAATACGAGTTTATTATCAGAGCTGAAAATGGTAAAATGTTTTTTAATGATTTTCCTCAAAAAAAATATAGAAAATTGTTTTTTTATTCTTTAATATATTATTCTTTTATATATTTAATATGATAGTATGGTGGTAAAAAAAAAATCAAAATTTTGTTTCAGACAGACTTTATAAATTGGTTATTTCTTTTAAGCCTAAAACAAACAAATAAGTTTAATATAAATCGAAGCCTATTATGTTTTAAGTTTTTATTGTTTCAATATGTTTAAGGAATCTGACACTTTGTATTAAATTAAATATTTTCTCTTGTAACTCCAAGAGAAATTTAAAATTCTTTTTCTGGCAACCAAAATAACACAAAAATTGATTCCTTTATAAATATTCATAAACGAAATGCATTTTTCTTTTTGGGTGGCGAATGGCGATTGTGGCTTTCGAGCACATGTGGAATGTTTTTATGCACGTAAAATATTATTTATATGCTGATGATTTCTGCGAGCCAATTTTCGTCACACATTTCTGCGCCGTGAAGGGGACCCTTGGTGGATAATCCTTTTCTCCGTCATTACGCCCAACCACTGGGAGGCAAAAACAACTGAGGAAAAAAAGAGGCTCAACATCAATTGAACGATTTAACCAATTTGCAATTTCTGCCTGAAAAGAGAAGACCAAGAATAATAACAACGACAAAGTCAACGGCGACAAAGAGCCGCAATAATAATAACTTTTCATAGCGCCGCCATTGTCGTTAAGAGCCCCCCGAGTGAATGAGCTTGTTATTCTGGAATGTCTGGTGTATAAAAATACCCAGCAGAAAGAATGACTGCCGTCCAATTTCGTAATTGTGACTAAGCAGAATGTTATTCAAACCAAGATTAGAAATCCTTTAACTGGTTGGACCTTGAAATTCATTACAGAATCGATTACATTACCATGATTAACTTTTAGTTGATGATGACTTTTATTTATTTTATTTTAAAATGTGTTTTTTAGTTTCTTATTGTTCGTAATATACCCACTCAAGTATTTCTCACAGAAAACGAAAATATATAAACATGTATGAAAAACCTACCAAGGAAATATCCTTTTCCCCCTTGTCGTTGACTTTTAAAAAAGTTTAGCTCATACGTTTTCCTGGTTTGACTTTCGCTTCCGTAATCCTTTCGCTTCGAATGCATAGAACATGCGCTGACTCGCCGAGAAACCTGCATTGCTGGAATGTTTCTCCGTCGCGCTTCATAGTCCTGGATATGGGGCGTATGAGTAATATGCCAATTACACATTTTGTGCATTCTCCTGTTGCTTGCTCGCACAGCTGCGTATATTTTTATGCGCCCTTTTCCGTGTCAACGCTGTAAAAATATTTTTTTATGTTTTTATTTGGAGTCACCTGCACTGGGTCGTCGTGTGGTTTTATTTGAGTGGGTGTTTGTTTATCATCCTGCAGCGACTTTGCGTAAGCGAGGTGAAGGCTTGAAGCGGCTTAGAGCAAGCTAAACTTGGCTATGTTATCCAGCGTTTTAGAGTAGGCTAAGGTAGTAAAACTTTTAAGGCTTCTTACTAAAACTGAGGTGGGTATAAATATAAAATCGTAATGGTTACGTCAAGGTAAACCAAAGATTGCAAAATATTTACCGTAAGCGTGTTGTATGTTTAAAGCAAATTAAACATAAAATTTGTTTTTTGATATCCAACTGTTCTTTCGAAATTTTTATATTTTTATATAGGAACACAACAATCAAAGTGAAAAATGGCAAGATGAACTGATTAAGTAGTTGTAGAAAATAATTTATAACTATAACTCTTATACATATAACCAGGATTTTTAATAACCCTGGGCATGGCTGTAGAAAATTCTTTCTTTCCATCAAGCGCATAGCCGTAAGTACCTAAATATTCATCAATCATACGCTGACTTTACTCGCCACCAAAAGTCAGAAAACACTGAAATGAGAGGCTCTAAAGTGATTTTGCTTGAAAGCTCCTATTCGTCCGCCTTGGTGGCCTGGATGACTCATCTGTAACCTGACTTGTTACCTGCCAGATATTCTTTAAATGCTCTATTATTGACCAAATTGGATTTTTTTGGTAAGCGAACGTGGATATATTGAATGGGTGGTGAAGAAAAAAACAAATAGAGCCTAAAATCAAATTTTGTTTTAATCGAATGCATTGAAAATGATATTGATTTAAGGACTCTAATTCCTTTGTAAGTTTTTAATGATTACAAACTCTAACGATGAAATGACAAGACCTCTATGAATGCAAAAAAGAATGCCAAAAATTTAATTACTCGTTGATGCTCATTTTAAAAAGAATAATTCCAAAAGTAAGTGAGGAAATGCGCACAGAAATTTCATTGGTGTTTCATAAAGTTTGGTTTTTAGATCATGCTTGGATGTATCAAGCCTGCAATGAGTTTCGCCTCCTTCGGCTATCAGGTGCCCTTGTCCTACTTTGAGAAAGTTTCCCAGGACACGTTTGCAGGAAAACAGACTGAGTAGAAATTTTCTCACCTGACTAATCACAAATTCGGCGGATACGGCTTCAATCAAAGCTAGGATTATGTGCAGGTAATCTTAACGCATGGCCAGCTGGATCCGTAGATTCCTGCGGGCCAGAAACGAAATAAACGAGGTAAGGCCTTGCCAAATGATTGAGAGACCACGCTTAGCTATGTACCTCGAGCCACAGGATACTCGCACTCAGAGGACTTGACCAGCATTAATAAAGCGGGCAGCTTGTAGATTAATCTGGTCAAACAGCGCGTGATGCCCTTCCTGCAACGCCACATATTTAATTATTAAATAAACAAATGCTTCGTATGATGGGTCCATTTGAAAATGTCGTGTTAGCTGATCCTTTTGTTCCTTGGCGATAGGCAAACAGACAAATTGAGTGATACTTGGGCACTTAGTATTACGTCTGGCCGTCTGGTTGTGCAAACAGTTTTCCTGGCATTCGTGTTGATTAGGAAAATGCACTCTTCCTTTGACCTGTGCATCTTCATCTTCGCCTGTTTGTTTGTTCTGGCTTGATTGGTTGATTAAGGGCTCGGTCGAGTGGACACCTACGCTGCCACATAGACAGTGTTTGTACAAACTTTCACTTGATCGCAGATCTTAGGTGCGGAAAATTGTGTTTCATGATAGTAACAAGGACCCAATAATATTCTTTAGTAGATAATAGAATTACTTAAATTTATTTTATTTAATATTATACTGGCTTTTTTGCTGAGTTTGCTTTGAGCTCTGTATAAATTAATATAATTTTACATTAATTAAGGGAGATCCGTGACCGAAAATTGGGAACGCAGGTAAGCAGAATTTTTAAACAGTAAATACTAAAAATAAATCTTTTGAATAAAAGGTTACCATTTAATTTGCAAAATTGCATTTCCGTTTAGAATCTAACATGTAGTTGGCTTATAAATGTGTAATACCCGTTTTGAAATTCATTTCCTAGCTCTTATAATATTATTTTGCGGTACTGATATATTTCTCTCTCAGCTATATTATATTTTAAAAATATTTTAAGAGTTATTTTAAAAGTCGTAGTTCAGTTAAGGCTGCTTAGCCCCAGCCATTAACAACTTATCCAATTAAGAAATGCGAATGTCGCAGCAGGAACGTATTCCCTGTTTATTATCCGCCCTCGGAAAAGCTTTGGCTGTCGCTTTTCGCATTTGAGTGCAACGCCAACGCTTTGTGGCCGTCGTCGAATCAGCGTCACCTGCTGGTCTGCGTGGGCGCCCAGGAAAGGCGCCCGGTTGGCACCAGAAACTATTGGATACATTCACGGGACTGCGGGACTTGGGGTCTTCGGTGGTTGCGTGGGCAGCTGAAATGGGGCGGGCCGGCTTTCACCGCTCTCTCTCTCTCTTGACGACTCTCTTTCGTTATTTACATTTGCTCCACTGCTGTTTGGCCATTTCTCCATCGGTTCGGGCCATGTTTCACTGCTAAAACCACGGAGATGCGGATGCTGTTTGGGTTTGTTCGCGCTAATTAATATTAGTTGCTTCATTTATTGGCTAAATTACGAGTGGACGAGCTTGAGCTTACCGCTAGACTTAAGTGTTGAAAGGATTATGAAGGTCTTGAAAGCAGAAGCTTTCGGCGATATATAACCCTGGATTGAATTACTTACTATATCCACTGAATGCTTAGCCTTCATCTTTTTGCTTAAAGTTTTATTCGATTTCTCTTTTAATTTGATGATCAATTTTTCTTCAGGTTAAAGTAATAAAAAAATTGAATACAAAAATCTATTTTAAAACCAAGAAATTAAAGCAAATTTTTAATTTAGTATAAAATAAAAACAATGTTATTATTTTTTGAAAGTTACTATTACAACCTACTAAAATAATCTATTCACAAATAAATAACAAAAAAATGTTCTATATAGCATTTACAACTTATCCTTTTAATAAAATAGATATTTTCTGTGATATAAATATTTAAATAAACATAAGAGGGATGTATTAATTGTTTATTATTACCAGAAACCAATAACCATATATGCCATATAATTGAAACACAATCCAGGCAATTAAACTACAATCGAGTATCAATTTCAGGGCCTGGAAAGGAGCCCCCATCCCGGTTTGAAAAGGGAACCGCTCCTGGCCAGCAGCGAAAACCCATCAACGCAACCGACGAAACTTGGCCCAGAGCAGGTGCTCGAGCCCTGCGAGTGACATTGAGAGCACGGCAAAGAGCGAATGCCGCGGGGAGAACTCAACCGCAGAAGGGGCAGCGCGAGAGAGGCAAGCGGTTTTCCACTCGCCCGGGAAATTCACTCGACGAGGACTCGTGCGTAGGCGGCCACGAAGCTCATGTTGAGTGGCGGGAAATGTGCTTAAAAGACGAACGCAATGCGCTCAACGCTTCAGTCGAGTTTGAAACTTACACTCAAGCGGAGTTGTAAATAGTGGTTCGAGTTGTTGGCTCGTACTCAAACGTACTGTAACACCTTTATGCGCCTAACAAAATCCCCTTAGAAAATATAAGAAAAAAAAACATACTGTTGCAAGCGAACAAAAACAATTTAAGTGACAAAAGGATTTCCAACTGACGCGTGTGCTATTACATGACTTGTGACTTGAATCCGTTTAAAATTGTGTGAAAAATTGTTGAAGAGGAAACCCAAGCCAATGCCAAGTTCTCACGAAATTCAAGTTGAAAAGAAAAATCTGTGTGTGCGGAAAATTGCTTCTTTACGGCTCCGCTCTGTTGCTCTTCATTACCTTTACGTTATACTACGCCCCCCAAATGTGCCAGTTCTTCTCTTATTTTTTCGGATTTTTTTTTGTATTTTGGATTTCTTTCAAGCCTAGGCCTCGTTAGTCTTGTCCCGCTTTCATGATTCACGTTGCGTATACGCCGTGTGGCGACTGGTGGTTTGGTGCGAGTGTGTGCGAATGTCAGTGTGCGTGTGCTTTGAATAACAACACGCAGTTGTTGATTGTTCCCAACTTCCTTGGGCTTCCCTGTTGCCGGGCTGCGCTCCTCTCGACCTTCGCCCCTGGCTTTCCTTGCTGCTGTTAAATTATGCATTAAGAACCTCGAACCCCAACAAAGGAGAAAATGAATGCTGAGAAAAGGAAATGGTTTAAAAATACTGGCTGCGAAAATTGTGGCACATTTTTGTTTGGGTGTCCACAGTAAATTATGCAAATTAGTGTTTGTTTGTGATTTGGTGGCTCTTTTTTTGGTTCTTCGCTTTAGGCCAAGGTGGCCAGGAAAAATGTTTAGATTTAGTGCTTTGTAAAGTTTTTCTGGCTCAGGCGTTATTTTCATGTTTGTAAAAGTTAAGTGCATTCACAATTTATTTCTGGAAACGCAAGCTAAATTAACATATTTCTAAGGAAGCTTTTCCTACTTTTCTAAGGCACTTAGGTCTTAATTCTAAGGTACTTAAATCTTGCAACAAGATGTGTTTCCACAAAAGAATATATTAAGATATACCTTTATGGCCTATTTTTTCCCCTTGAAGGTAACATAGATGTTATGTTGCAGTTGAATTTAAGTTTGATTTTAAAAAAATTAGTCTTTTTATGTTGATATACAAGATTTTATAAATTAGAATCTGAATCCAGATTTTTTTAATTTCATTAGTTTTTAAAGGCTTAAAAAAATCTTTCTAAATTGTTCCGTACTTTTATTTACCACAACCAAAAATTGAATTTTCCCTCCAGGCTTTTTTACAAACTTTACAAACTCTTTTTTAAACTCAGCTCTTTGTGCTCTTTATTTTAACCCATGATACTTGCTCCACCAATTCGCGCAGCATTGTTTGGCCAAATTTTGGCGCTTCGGCCATAACTCACTTTCTTGTTTCCCGTTCTCTTGTTTTCTGCTCACTTCCTTTGGCCTTTTCTATTTGTCTGCTAGTCTCTGGTGGCCTATATTTACTATTTGGCTAACGCGTCTTAAGAACCAAATGTTCCTCCATTCAACCAGGAAATTGTCCCAGTATTTGTGCGTGTTTTAGAAGACACTTTCGTCGTCTGTCTTTTTTTGGAGTTTATTAAATCGGTGGACCCAAGGACAAAGTTTCATTTTCAGTCTATTAAAGAATTTTATGGCCTTCATTTTTGTTTTTATTTCCTTGCTGGTGGGCTGAATGTAGTTTATGTCTTCCGGGGAAATTGTCACAAGATTTTACGGCTTAATTCTCAGGCGGCAGATGAAAAGCCAAAAAGTTAAGCTATCGGGCTGTGAAAATTTCCGTTGGCCTTTTTCAAAAGCATAAAATTAAAGTCAATCTAAACTTTATAGTTTGGCATTGCAGAAACTTTTATGCTGCATTAAAAGAGAGCTGAAACTTCAACACCAAACTTAGCACTCAGCCTAGTTGTGCTAGAATTACTAATTTAGGTAAATATTTGGTTCATTATTCAATGCTCAAGGCTGTTCTAAGAACTCTCCAGACTGCAGCTGTGAAAAAGGACTAATTAAAAAGCTTGCTCTGATGGACGCTTCTCTATTCTGTCTTTAACTTTTCCCTTTTCAAATTTCGGGGCCAAGGTTTCTTTTGTCGAGAAGGGAGGGTGTATTTTGTCCTGTGTCCATTTTTGATTGCCCCAAAAAGTATACAAGAAAGTTACAACACTTTTTCACTTCTCCAACTTTTGCTTACACAAAGAAAAGAGCAAAAACGGAAGGGTTAACTTGGCTATAATTAAAGGTTCGTCTATGTCTGGCCTTTTTTTAGCTTTCCTTTTTTTTCTGCTGCTGCTTTTTGGTTGCACGCGTCGTATGTGTTTTGGGTGCTCGAGAGAGTCATTAAGAGTCGCTCGAGTGTGTGAGTGCTGGAAATCCATCTAAAAATTATACGAAAAAGGGTTGTTCAACTTTCTATCCCCGGGTGAGGTGGACTTTTACTGGCCCTGCTCCCAAAAATAAAACAACCAGGGGAATATGAGCGAGGAAAAGTTAAAGTTCGTTAAGCTGATTAGGTGACTGGTTCTAAAGTTGCTTTGGCAAATAAACAGCCTCCTGGAGACATCCCAGGATAATCCACAGCGCGATTGGCGTCAGCTTCTTGGCTTCCCTTGGACAATTAAATTTTCGTTTCTAAAAAGAGATCCCGAAGGGCGCCCATAAATTATGGGAACCAAAATATTAATTTAAAATTAAATTAAACATTGCTTTCTAATTAAAATAGCATGTTTTGGCTTCAGAAAACGGTGCTCAAGTTAAGTTTTAAAATTTATTTGGAATAAAACTAATTTTACATGATGTAGCTATTTAAACACATTTTGTAGGGATTTAACTATGAAAATGTTTTCCACACTTTTGTACAAATTAAAAATAATATTACCCAAATGCGACAGTTGGAAATTCGTTGGTTCAGCATGCAACAGCATAAATAATTTCTAATTAAAAACTCCCAACTAACTTTTCTGCTTTTTCTCTTCTCGTTGCAGTGTAGAAAAATGTAAAAAGTCGACTAAAAACATATATCTATATACACACATATAAATATTTGTTTGCCTGCAAAATTATTTTCAAATTTAATTTCAACGAAACGAAAATACAAAGAAACAAACGAAAACGAAACAAACCAAACCGAAAAACAACAAAACGAGTTAATGCTTGTATGTAGACCGTAGAACAGTATAGTAAACGAAACGATAAGGAAACTATATAGAAACGATAACTAGGGAATCGGGAAGGAGTCGCAGCTAATTTCTGGTTCGTATAACTCCATTAGGCGATTAGCGTATTGAAGGACAAACGAAGGAGGAGCGGGAAAACCCGCTGCAGTGGCTGAAGTGCCAACGATAATTGAATCAAAGGGCAGGCGGCGCACGTGGAAAAAGTTGCCCGGGAAACTGCTTCTGAAAAAGAAACTAGAAAACTTGAACAAAACACTCGGATAAAAGTGGAAAACGTGTGCGTGCGCGTGTGAAAAACTTTCAGCACCAGGCCGAGTGTTTTAATTTCGATACTTTACAAGTTACGCCATCCAGCTGGAAAAGTCCATGGCCATGGACCATCATCGGCAAACCCGTCAGCAGCATCGCCATCTCGGCATGTGGCCAACATTCGCCGTCAGCCTGCTGCTCCTGCAGGCCGCCACCAGCACGATGGCCATCGATTTGAGCCGTTTGTATGGACACATGGCCAATCCCATCGTCAAGCGGAGCGGTAAGTAATCGAACACACGTCTCTCCCATATTGTTGGCTCATTAAAGGACCACCTGACGTATACGCGATTTTGTTTGGGTTCTTTGGTTTTTTTTGTTTGGCCCAACTTCCGTTCACAGATTGACCTTCTCGGCCTTTCCCTTGGGGCCAGAAATAATGTTTCCTTTCTGGCATTTCTCCTGCTCTCGGTTATTTATCGCACCACTCCGCCTTTAAATCCAATAATTAAATATACGCTATTTTTCGTTGCATTCCAGCGCAAGCATTTGTTATTTTTCTTTTCATTTAATTAAATTTGGCTTTTATTTATTTTCACTATTTCTGTTGCCAGGTGAGTTGCATAATTAATGCGCACTTTTTTGTTTATTTCTTTTTTCCACTTCTTTGGCAATTTTACGGATTTTTCATTTGCGTGTTGTGGTGGCCAGCGATGAAAATCTTTGGCTTCCCATTTAAAGTTTATGTAAATGGAAAATTTTTAAATTACATTTGGCAGGTTGGGTTTTCCCCACGTTTGTTCGTGATGGAATTTTCACTGGTTTTAACAATATTTTTTACATTATTTAATTAACGCCTAAGGCCGCCGTTAATTTGTGGTATTTGAAATACGTCTGATTCCGTCAGGATTCAAGATATAATTTAATTATACATTTGATGTATGCACTGCGAGACCCCAAACCAAATACGTAATTAACTCAAGCCTTGGCAATAAACTGGCGAACAAGTGTTTTGCCAACTTAATTTGCGACATTATGGCTGTGGGCCACGAATAGTCAGTACTCAATTGGTCATTAATTGCCGCCTGTCGCACAGCCATTTCATGAACATGCAAAATTATTTCATTATACTAATTTGTGCGGACGCTCCATTTACCTTTTAATAACGATTTATTGGTTTAACCAATTTTAATGCAACGAAAATCCATACCTATAGAATTTCTAATTTCCTTGCACCCGACACTTTGACAGCTTAATGCTTTTCCTGATGATAGAACGAATTTCCTCAATTCCTTTTACCCACAGTACGTCAGTTACAGTAAATGTCCTTTACAAAATGTCTGAGAAAATCCATTTACGCTTTTGAGAAATCACGAACTTGTCAACCACAAAGTGGACATAGATTTCATAAAAACTCCAGAGCAACACTTAAAACATTTAGAAAATAAGGAAAGGTTTCGTTAAAATTGTGGCGAAAATAATATAGACATGTTATTTATTCCAGATGTTTCGAAGCAATAATATAATAATCGAATAGCCTTGAAAATAATTGCCCACATTAAGCATTAACTATCTCTATATCTTAGTTCCGTACTTCTTCCTAACTTCCTTAATAATCATTGCTTGGAAAATACAATTCCGCCAACACCATTTGCAATGATAAACCTTGCCCAATTTGTCGCAATTTCCCTTTTGCAACCTCTCCTGGAAAACCAACTTTGCTGGGCAGTGTAATAATTTAGCTTTCCTGTCAGTGACAACATATTTTATGCTGCAATTTCCCGCAGAAAAGAAAGTCGCTGCATTTTCACCGCGCTTTTTAACCCGCTCGCTGCTTTACTTAACTTTGGCTCCTGGGTTTAGGAGTTGGTTTTGGCATTGGGTTGCTTTGGGTTAGGGTTTGGGTTTCGTTGTGGGTGCCACTGGGTTTATTTATTGCGGCTCGCTTTTGTGCTCCGTGGCATTCTGGCTTTGTGACGAACGATAACGAGCGTGGGTTGCCTGGTATTTCGTGGCATTGTGAGTTGGTCGTAATTTTTTTGGTCAGCTGCCCAGCCGGAGGATCCCGGGGCAGTTAATAAATGTGTCACCGCCAGGCAGGAAGCCGAAGCTGCCGGAAAGCACTCTGAAAACCAGAGCTCAGTGACAGCTTGAAAGGGTTTTGCGTGACTTCCTTTTCCTTTTCATCAAGAAGGCATTCATTATTTCCGATTGTTGCATTGTTTCACCTTCACTGGCGACATTCGACGGCGAGTTGATGGACACTTTTTTAATGAAGACTGTGAAGGGAAAGGATGTCAATCCAATTTGACACTATTTTTATGGAAAAGCAACACTTATTTCTTATAATAAAAAGTTCAAATTTAAAAACAGCTAAAATTGCTTCGTACTTTTTAAGAACATTTCGTTACATAGATTTTCAACTATCCTTGTCAGCTTCTTTTATTTGATTAACATGTGTTATGCTCGTCAACTTCCATTTTCTCCCGTTTAAATATTCATTTAGTCGCGTCGCCGAGAGTATCATAAATATTAAGCGAATAATTCAATTAGTTTTACGAGCGTACTCAAGTCCAGTCCTACGGTATAAATTATGCAATATTTGATTCGCTCTTAGCTAATGTGTTTGAAGGCGGCCCAAAATCGTGGCAGTTGGCTGGGGAGTTGCCTCGTTTTTCCCATCTGAACGTTGTGCGGTGACTTAAGCGGCAACAAATGGCAAACAAAACGTAGCATACTGGCTGGCATTCGCTGGAGCGTGCCCCACATGCAAATAGCTGGCACACAAAAATACAAGGCAACGGCAAACGTTGCAGCCAGTGTGCAAGCAGTGAGCCAGCTGACGGACATATTGGCTTACAAAACATTCCGTGGACTTGGCCATTTCCACTTACGTGATCGCTCCAACTGCAGCTGGCACAGAATGGAATTTCCATAAAAGCAAAACCGCGCTGGGCGAAAAGTCCAAAATCAACAGAGCGCTCAGGCAAAAGCTAAAACGTGATTACGCCGCGCATTATGGCCAACATCGCTTGGCATTCAAAAGTTGCAGCCAACTAGACTCCCGTTAGAGCACTAACTTGTTCTCGGAAAGCATTTAGACCAAATGGGCTGCCACGGACTTGAACCTGAAAGTCTCTGAATAATTTTATTAGCAACTTTCGGCCCCTTCTTTTGTTTCCTAATTAATTCTTAGCCCAGCATTTTGCGTGGTCTCTAATGGGTTATAAGTAAGCTAGGGGATGCGAAATTCGAGCTAGGGTTAATTTTTAATGGGGTATTTGCAGCGGATTTTAATTGTAACAAGAAGGGTAAAATTAAATTTAAGAAAGGGGAAACAATAAACGTATAATATTTTTTTTTTTATGGCATTTTTACTTAATGCTTGATAAATTTTTAAATTTTTAATTTCATGAAAACTTAACGAATAGCTTAATAGGCTCAATTTAACTTGATAACACACCAGAAAAATTTTAATTTTAAAAGACTTACCACAAAACAGGAGAAAATCAATAACTCTTTAAATACAATTAATTGGCTTTAAAATAGAGTGTCGAAGAATGTTGTGGTATGTAGTTAATAAAAATGTCTATTAAATTTAATTTGATTTCAAAGAAGGAAAATTTACATTTTAAACGTCATATCACAGAGGAGGAAAATCAATAACTCTTTAAATCCAATTAATTGGCTTCCAAATTGAGGGTGTTGAAGAATGTTGTGGTATAGATGATAGGGCTAAAGCCCTGTTGAAAAAAGGAAGTATTTATTGTTATTGCCTTTGCAAGTTTGCGGCTACTGGCATGAATAATGGCAGTATAAATCCTCGAAAGAAGGTGAAACAAAATGCGAACAAAATATGTTTAAAAACATTGGCCTGGACAGAGCAATTTTGCTGGTAATTTACAATGGCCATAAATACGTGCGTCGAAAGGTTTGAAGTCCGAAGAAGCTATGGATGCAATATGTGCGATAAATTTTAATTATGCTGACAGTTTAATTATGCTCGATTGCCAAGATTTATATCGTACCTCTAAAGTTTGCCAACTCGGCCACTGATATGCAAATCTATGAATATTTAGTAGATGTGCGTATGCAAATTGAGAGGTTCCATGGACGCCAGTCGGATGTACTGGGTCACGTATACGCCGCGTTGCCGACAGACAGCGATCAATCCACACTTTGTCCCCATTAACTCGGTAAACTGTCAACTGGCTTACCGAATATAATCCAACTACCAACAAATGGCCATCATCGAGTTGTGTGTGGCAGCGAAATGGGTTGTGGCGATGTGGAAAGGTCATTAAAAAGTCTGTGGTTGAAGATTGCATTTCATTTTGATACGACAATTATGTGGGACACATTTTGCAAGGGAAAAGTTTCAGTTGCCAAAGGACACGATTTTAAGTTATACGAAGTCCTTCGCTTCAATCGATTGCAATTGATTTTTACTCGTTAAATGCGAGCTTTAACACGGCTGCCGCAGATTATCAATTTGTTCATAAAAACGTTTATGGTTTCTGTCCCGCCTTAAAGTCTTTTCGCACCAGACGCAGACGCCTCGAGTCATAACTAAAAACATTTCCTTTAGAGTTTTCTTTTTTTTTATTACGCCATATTATTTTACGATCCAAGACTTTTTTACTCTCGCCTTTATACAGAAATATTTGTTTTATATCTTGTCAATTTTTACGGGCCAGTCAGCCGAGTAAAAGTGTTTTTCTTCCATGGCCGGGCCTTCATTGTTGCCTCATTTATTATTTATTTGCTGCGCACTAAAAGTTTGCCAAGCCAAGGCAGAAACGCAGAAAATCTACCCGTGTAATATGCAAAGGCAGGAGGAGAATGTAGGGAACACCTCGGACCAGGACATTTGGTGGCAATGGGGCTTTTTCTACGTTACTCATACGCCACGTCGGCTATATAAATAGAACCATTGAGCTAGGCGAAAAACACCAGTTTTTCATTAACAAAAGTGTCGTCTTGGGGCAAAAGGTGGCCAGAAATGGGTAAATAGAAATTGCTTTATTGATTTTTCTGCTAAGAAAGGGTCAAAATAGAAATAAGTTCTTGAACTTGAGAGCTCTTGAAAAGAGTCAGAATTATTTGCACACTATTGATTCCTCAAGTTAAATTTATTATACTCTTTCCTTCCGCTGGATGTTGAATGGTTAGCTTTATTTGAAAATCCCAAAGCAGCTGAGTTGCAAACTGCTTAGCATACTTGTGCATTTATGGCCAATGCCAGGCCAAGATATTACTCGAAATGGGAAATGCACAATACATAAAATCCAATTTCCAGATAGAAAGCACATATACAGTGGCACAAATGGAAATCTGAGGACCACAGAGGACTAAGTGAAGGGATGGAAAAGATAACCACAGATGCAGACGACTGAAGAGCTTTTCCGGCGAAAATCCACTTGTGACTTGCGCATTTCTGTGGCTCTTTAGCCCCGATGTCTTAGGCCATTTCAGTTTTGCATATCCAATTTAACTGGCAAATGCAATCCGAGGTGTATCTCTGTAGCTGTTGGCTGGGAAATGGCACAAGCACGTCCGAAATGCAGGGTCGAGTTTGCCTGCGATTTCAATATTTTGTATTTGCTCACCAGCCGCAATTTCCCCCAAATTGATTTGCTTGAAGAGGAAAGGGAAAGGCGTGTGTGCAAAGCACATTTGCGCGAGTTTTCCAGGCATTTTCACAATTTTCACTCAAGTGCAAAGTATGCATAACATTTGCCTTTCGCCTGAACAGTTTGTGGCATGTGTGAGAAATTAACCTGGCTTCGCTTGTGACACAAACTAATGCAAAATAAAATTTCGCCCTACCTTAATTAAGTTTCTTGGGGGAAAAACTTCGTCTGACACTTGACACTCGCACCTTATGACGGAACTTGTAATTAGTTAGAAAGCCTTTTGATTACATTGCAATTGGTCTTACGGTTATTGCCACATTTCATAACAAGGTCTGGAAATTCATTTTCTAGACTTACCATTCGTACTCCATTTGAATTTCATTAGGCAAATATCCATTAAACTTAATGTCCTTAAGACTTGGGCAACATTTTTGTTTCTGCTCTTCAAGTCTGGTTAATTGAATTGGTATTTCGATTCGGTCTGCTGAATAATTTAACAACAGATTCAAAGCTCGATTGCCTAAAACGGGGAATATAATTACCCTCCAATTATTTATGAACTGACCTGGACCACAAAGCATATTTAAATTTATTTGCAATTTGCTGCGGTCGGCAGGTGTAAATTTCTATTGGCTTTATTTCGTTGTTTTCCTGCGGTTTTCCAATGGCTCTAACCCACTTGATTACAATTCGCATTTGGTTACAAATCAAAATGGAAAATGGAAAACTTTTTCGCCAGGCACAGTGCCGACATTATTGGCCAAAAATGTGTGGAATCGCTTGGTTCGAGAGTGAAAATTGAGTGAAGTTCACGTAAACAAAGGGAAAGTTTTCACGCATTTGCAATGCGAAAAGTTTTTCCGGAGAAGTTCAAGGCAGCCGTCGCACCGTTGGTCAACATTTCAGTATTTTTCACTTTACTTCAGGTGAGAGATGGTTCGCCTTAGGGTTTTTCCACATTTCCACTTTTCCTGCAGGCAGTGGGGGTGGGTGGTATTTTGGGGTGGCAAGCCCTAAGTGCTGAGATGAAGTGCACCCAAGTTATCATCGGAAAGAGCTGCAGCATAAGCCAGATTAAATGTATTTTCCATTACTGTTGCATGCCACTTTCGGCCAGAGTAGACGCAGACACCGAGACAGTTCACAGCTCTTCAGCCAGTTTGCAAGTGGCCAAGAGTGTGGGTGTGTTGGCAAAAACGGATGCGGCCACGTTTGCCCAAGTTGGGTGTGGCAAGTAAGGGCTAACTCGATTTACCGCCTTAACATTGGGTAGCTGATTCGCTTAGCTGCACACGTCCTCTTATTGCGACCAATTACGCCAGCTAATTAGGAAATTATAACGTTTTCTGGGGATCAGGCTTTGAAAAAAAAATATGGCTTAGAGTTTTTATAAGAAAACTTAATAAGAAAACGTGATGGGGTTCAAAATGTAATTTCAAATTGTAAAGCTCTTAGTTAACTTTATTTCAGATCGTATAAGCTCAAGCCTCTTCAAGTAAATTTAAAGTAACAAGGTTACATTTTACCAAATGATGTATTCAAACTAAGCTGTTCAAACGACATTTTAAATAACCTTATGGCTTCCCATTTTAATTAGTAGCTTGGTGATTCTTTGTAGCAAGTTGGACACTACCAAATTCTATGAAAACATACAAATTTATTAAGTATTTATTATTATTATTATTATTAGTATTATTATTATTATTATTATTAGTATTATTATTATTATTAATATTATTTATTATTATTTATCCAATCGAATGGCACTGAGAATTTGGAAAACTGACTGAAATTTAGACAGCTGTTGAGTGCCGATTGGCAGAATATTTTTCAAAGTTAGGCCTCTCCCTCCGCCTCCGGTTCGGTGACGGATGGCTGCTTGGTGGCCAACGGCGATCCTTCGACTTCTATCTCCACCTCCGGCTCCTTGGGCACCTCCTTGCCGCCAAGGGCCAACAGAGCTTCTGGTGACATCTCCTGGCCGTGCTCCTCCTCGCCCTCGCCCTCGAAGTCGTCGCCCAGCTTCTCCTCAGGCTCCGGCGGCAGCCAGCAGGTGCCCTTGACCAGGCGGTCCTCGATCTCGGCGATCTCGTTCTTGTAGTACTGGTTGAAGTCCGGTCGCTCCCAGATGCTCCTCACCCACTGCAGGTTGAAGTCCATCTTGGTGCAGCAGCAGAACTTCCTCGACTTGTGGCACTTGGGGCACTTGGCCGGCTGGCGGGCAGGATGCGTGTACTGCTGCTTCTGCTTCTTCTTGCAGCAGTAGGGGCAGACGTGCTTCGGTGCCTTCTTCTTGGTGGAGGAACAGGGCACCGGCTCCTTGGCGTAGACCAGATGGCCGCGCTTCTTGGCGCAGAAACAGCAGTTGCAGTCATCGCCCTCCGGTTGCCGCTTGCGCGTCTGCATTCGATCGTAGAACTTCTTGAAGGCCACCTTGATCTTGGCCTCGTATGCCAACTGATCGCTGCAGGAGAGTCCATCGAATCGGGCATAGGATTCAGCGGTTTTCCTTGCCGCATGCACCCAAACGCACTCATCGTTGTACGACGGCCTGCCCTGTTCATCGTATGTCAAATCCTGTTTCGGCTCGTAGTAGAAGGCCTTGAATCCCCGCTTGATGATCGCGTAGGCCAGGTGCGCCTCCACCTTGTTCATCAGCGACTTCTTGCCCAGTTCGTGGAAGAGATCCTCCTTCCTCAGCCTCTTCTTCGGCGTGGTGTCAATGCAATAGCACACCTGGTCGTAGTGCAGGAAGGCATACGAGATGATGTCCACCGTGGACTTTGCCTTGCACTCGTGCAATCCGCAAATGATCATCACCTGGGCCAAAGTGTTGGCCAGATCGAGGACATTCTCCAGGAAAATCGAGGAGGCGTTCACCTCGCCCAAACACTTGCACTGAGTGTGCTGGTCGATTATCCCCAGAGGAGCGTGTCGTTGGCACTCCTTGTGTTGGCAGTTGTTCCTGCACCGGAAGTCGGGCATCGCATGGTGAGCCTGCATCGCGAATCGGTCTTACCTCGTTCTTTTTTGACGCTGTTCTCCACTCCTTTCCGCATGAAATTTTTTCAATTTTTTACTTTTCCTAAAAGGTGTAACTGGTCGGTAAATTGAGGCAAGCCAAATGAATGTGTGATCGGGGAATGACAAAGGTGGCAGATGGAATATTTCACAGCAGTTACTAGATTTGTTTTTTTTCCTCTTTTAGGATTGCTAGCATTCAAGATATTGCTGTTTTGTATTGCAATTCATTAAGAAATACAAAGTATTTCGGTAAAGAAAGCTAAGCTTGTATTTTTTCTTCCGAAAAAACATAAAACTTTACCAAAATCAAAAACATTTTATTTAATAAGCAGTCAGTTCTCCTTTTAAGCAAAAGTTTAAGTACTTCCCCCTTTGACTTAAATTAAAAAAGTTTTATAGCTTATTTAGCTATGCAAGGGATTACCATATTTATACGAAAGGAAAGAGTCTGCTTTCTTTTCGAAGATAAATTCTTAAAGTTGTTTTTTTTTTTACACCCAAAGCACACAGTCGAGCCACAAAATGACCCATGTTGCAGGGTGTCGTGTTAACACAGCAAAGTCTTGGGATTTTCTCCAAATTTGGTTACTTTCTTAGCTCTTCGTGTTGTCGGCTTTCGGACAACATTTGATATGGCATAGATTGTTTGAGCTGTGTTTTCGTTTGTTTGCCCATTCCTTGCAGACACGTATAAGTTTCGATGGGTCAAATATTTGCTTAGCCAACAGTGGAAATTTTCAGAGCGCCGCCAAGTAGGCAACGTTTCATTTTTCTTTTTGCGACCTTCGTAATGGATGTCCTTTTTTGTTTTTTTTTTTTTTTTGGCTGGGATACATTCGTAATTGTTGATGACGGCATTGAGTCAAGTTTATGATTCGTTTGGGAGCGGGGAATGCGTTTGGCAGTGGCATAAATTAGGTACGACATCCTTCTTGCTTCGAGCTCGATTCACTCCCGGGGAAACGTCAGCGCAAATACATCAAAGAATTTATTAGACAAGCTTTGCCATATCCGTTTCCTGTTGACAAATGCCACGGGAAGTGAAGAGTCATCTAATAACATTTTTCCAAATGGCGAAGGCAAGAACAAAAATTGCTGACAAATGTAAATCTCCATTTGCGTAACGTCCGCACAAGTTGACCCGTTGGATTTCAGGGAAATTGTTGCACTTTAACCTTTTGGCTGTAAGTGTAAGAAAGCTGGCTTAAACCCCCGTTTATGCCCGACGTAGAAAAGCCGCTTAATCTGTCTCAGGCAAAAAGGGAGAGTCGTAAAAACTTCGCTTAACTCATAATGAAAAAGCAGCACGATGCAGGCCTGAAGATGAGCGATTTCAATTCCGACAAGAAACCCCATCCTTCGAACTTTTGTTTCTCTTTTTAAGCTAAAGTGCAACTGCGTAACTCATAAAACTTGAGCAATCGAGCATAAATCTTGGCCAGACAAAATGGCCAACTGTTGGCCGTGCTTTGTTGGCCGTTCTCGGTTAGCCGGCAACTTTTCTTGGAAAAAAAACCAATGACGCCCCAACAAGAAATCGTATTCGTTTCTGCAACAATAAAAGTTGACAGCCTGGAACTGACACGTGGCGATGGCCAGGTGGCAGCAGGAGAATCTGTCTGCCGGATAAAGTTTCATTGGAATCCATTTCTCCGCCGGACAGAAATAAATTGTTTTTATGCAAGGTAATACCGAAGAACAAGAGGACATTGTACTCCTTTTATTTATATTTAAGTGGAGAAGTGCAGGCTTTCATTTCAATGAAACTTAAGTCTATTTCATTAAGCAATATAAAATCACTAAAACCCTTCAATTTTGTTTAGTCAAATCTTTAAGCTTTGCACCCATTTAGACTTGTTCTCGGCTTTAAATATTCTAGTAGCACACAGTTGTTGATATTTCGCAGCTTTAAAAGTATCAATCAACAACATTTCGTGACCATCCAAACATAAGCCCAGCTTACCCGCATTTATAAACTGCCTAGTCTTTGGCACGTACCAAAAATTAGTGCCTACTTCTCTCAAATACACACCACAAACGAAACGTCCACGTCATTCGCATAAAACCCTTTAATGGTTATGCAGGCACCAATTACCATTAAAAGCGGACAGCCTCGCCTGAAATGTATACATGCACATACTCGTACATGCAAAAAAAAAGCGGAAGGCGGGTGAAAAAATAGCGAAAATCAATATATATGTATGCCGTGTGAAGGACTCGAAAACGCAGCTGAGATTGAAAAATCCTCGAAACGACGGTGCGCGTTTTTTAGCTAAGCGACTTGCTATGATTTCCTGCTTTTTGTAGCCGCTACTTGCGGTCGTTAGACGTGCCGCGGTTTATAATACTCTGGGTTTGGGATCCATTTAATAGTTGGATGTAAAGTATCCTTTTCTGAGAGCTTGCAAAAAATATATATTATGAAAAGATTGCCTTAAAATTGTGTATTTTTTTGTCGCTTGTCATAAATAACCTATTGATTTGGGGTCTTTTATTTTATTATACATTTCAAATGACTTGACAACAAATTAAATAAATATGTATACAAATCCATAAAAACGTTGAATTGTTTTTGGATAGTGTAAGAAATTGTAAATTAAACTTTAATTTATTAAGTTAGTAGTTCGAATGTAGTAAATAATAAATAATAAATATCTAACAAAATTTAAAATTGATTTTGTAGAATGGAATAGTGTAGATAGTTACTATTACTTATAAAACATATTTAATCAATCGACTTATTAATTATACTTTAAGTCTATTAACTTTTTAAAAACATAAATTATACTCGTCTTCCAAGGATGCATGCATTTCCATTTTGAAAGCGCTTTTTTTTAAGGACATTCCCTCTTCGTTCTGAAGAGGCTAATTTACTCGAGCACTGATTTCTTTGCCCTTTTTTGTGTGCATGGCCAAATGGCAGGACATAAATCTGCAAATGTGATAAATGGTTATAAAGCCAGGAGTAATGTTTATTTAAAATAATGATGATGATGAGCAGCTGCAGCTGTTTGCCATTACCGCACTCGCCACCCCCTTTTTACGCCAATGTTTTTTGGTACATGTAAATTACCGCGGACCTTTGATGGCCGTCCAAAGAAGGCTGCCATTGAGGCCCTCAGTTTGCCTGAGTAACTGGCTTTTTTTAAGAGCCACAGACAGCTGTTAAAGTTCAGCTGTCAATTATTCATAAAATTGCGCATACGTCTGCACTCATTACGTATACGCCGAGTGTGCCAGTCGCTCTTCATTTTGCAAGCGATTTGCGTGAGCTGGGATCGCTTTCACTTCGCTGGTTGGTATTAATTCGATTCACACTCACACAAACGCACATGCGACATTGGTCTTTTTATTTGGCTGCTTATATTTATTGCGTTTTGTGGTTTTGCTTTAGCATAAATTTGCATAATTGAGCTCCAGACTGCTCCAATCTGAATGTTTGATTTATGTACCGTCCGTCTCGCTTGAAAACTTTGCGGCTAAGTTCTCATAATTTCGGGCAAACGTTCCCGAGGATATTTGTGTTTATAATTTACGCACGAAATCGAAAAACTTTCTCCTGACTTCACGGCAGCTTATTATTATTTTGTCTGTTAGCAGATTTGCATAAAACGGCAGGCGGTCTGGTGGAAATAATAGGACTGCGGGCACTTCCTTTAAGTATGCTAATTTACATTGCCAATATTGGACTATCTGGGCTTAGCATTTTTTAGGTTTTTAAGCTCCCTCAAAATCGGATTTAAAGTGGTTATAGTATTGTTTTAACGTTACTAATGGCAAGCTTCAAGTTCAGACCATTGCTAAATGTAATGTCAAATCGATACACCGTAACCTCAATAAGCCTCCTTGACAAATGGCCCAAAATCTGATTGGGGGAGGGTTCAGACCTCTGTCCTATCTCTGGACATTGATCGGACAACAAATTATTTTAGCCCTGTCCCCGAAGGCCAATCAGTGTGGTATCATTACAAAGCCATTAAGTTGGCCAATCAAAACCATGCAAAAAGGCCCAAAGAAGAACACCCACATACGAAACATGACTCAATGTAATTCAATCAAAGTGCCAGTGAAATGGCACAAGAACTCATTAGCAGAAATATGCTGGTCCAATATCAGATATGGCCCATTAAACAAGGCTTAAATTAAAAAAAGAGTCTGTCAGCAATAGATAATTGCCTAGTAAACGACTCTAAGCAAAAACCGAAAGCCTGCTTAAGCCTATTGGAAAAATTGAGCTACCAGTATATCGATGTTAACGAAAATTCAACTGGGAAAAGGGCAACATGTGCACTCCTCTTTGTAAGCTAAAAGCCTAGGCAATGTCAACATTATAGGCGCGTCAAAATTTGGGACCTTTGATTGATTGATTTGCCCACGAGCTAAATGAATTCATCATCCACATTTGAGTGTATCCCCGGCGCAAACTAATTTATCATCCAAATCAATCGAAGTGCGCGCTAGGCAATTTGAGCAGCTGAGAACGATGGATTCCATGAAACTAATCAAATATGATGGCAGGGACCAAATAGGTGAATCAAATGACAAGTAAATATTGCAAGTAAAGCTAATTTAATGGAACTTATCAAATTTGAAATACTTTTATATTAATATCAGACCCATTAGGAAAAACAATCTGATTCCATTCCTTACTTAATATTTAAAAGTGTCTCTTGCTATACTTTGCTTTATTAAATGAATTTAGTGATGCCACATCCTTTTTTTTCGAACAGCCTAACAGCTTTTTTTTTTAATTTTCTTGGAACGCAATTTATTGTGTCTCAGCTGAGCCCCAATCAATTTATTTTTCAACATTTTAAAAATGCTTGTTGCATAAATTTTTAAAGCGTCCATAATGGGCTTGTTTGGTGTTTCTGGAATACAATTTAGTTTGCGAGGTTGACTTTGTAAATATTTATAAGCAAATACTCTTCTTAAACAACGAAAACACTTAAACATTCAACGGTAACCATTTCTTGTTTAGCTTTCTAATTTATTTTAAATAAAACATAAAAGTTTTGATTAAAATAGGTACTAACCTACAATTTTTTGTCGGCATGGTAATTTTAAATTTATTTTGTTTTACTCCTAACCCCAGTGAATCGGTTCCACTGTTCATTACT